ATAAAATCCTTCAAACAATTCACAAACTCACCCATAATGCAATCAACAAATGCAACGTTTTATATAAATTTAAGAATATATTAATAACAATAAGTTTTATAAATTATATTATTTTTCACACAAATTAATTAATGCTATAATATGACTAAACCTACAATATATCATTAACAAACCTGATAAGATAATTATGAACCCGAGTTATTCGTTTTATGAGGAGAACGTGATAATTTTAACGCACCAACTGTTTAATCAATTTACAACTTGCATTCGATTAATTGTCAAGCGACTCGTGTGTGAGAATGCTCTCATTATCAATTGCGTAATCAACCCGCTTTGAAGGGCATTGCCAGTCGGAGCACACCCGTAGCTCGCGATTATCTAATTGATCTCGCGCCATATAATCAAATGGCGCTAAAACGAGCAACGAGGGTGTCCAGGCTGTCACTCTTTATAAACTCTGAGATGTGAGATACGCGGATATATAAATACATAACCTTTCGATTATATCCCGATCTTAATCAATTTTTTATGATTTTTACTATCACCCGAAAATTATGATAAAATTCTGCTGAAAATTGAAATTAAAAATCAGAATTTTTTTAACATATGTATATATGATTAGTTTTTTAATTATTATATATTATTTTCAAAAGAGAAATGTGTGTAATACTGTACAGTTGAGAAAACTATTCTAAGTTAAAATATGTAATTATAAGAATAAAAGTATACTTTATATATGCTTATCAAATAAAATCATATTTTCTATGTACGAAGATTGACGATTTGAATAATAAATTAAAGAATTTTACTTTAGAAATGAATATAATGTTTTGGCGGGATATATTTATAAAAATATTAAAAAATATGTAAAAAATAATTGAAAGAATTTGAATTTGAATCGATGCAAATAAATAAAAAGCGACGAGACATCGTTAAGGCACACTTCAATCATTTTAAACATGTTTTGCAGCAAAATAACACGTAATCAGGTAAAAATTAGCCACAGCTTATAAGTCATTTTCGTCATTTTCGTACACAAAAGTTTTATCTCGAGAGTCTAATATTACGGTTATATTACAGATGCTATCTGAAAACATATGCGTCAATATTTAACGTGTCTGTAATAATTAACATGAGATAATACTTTTATGTTGTCTTCAGGTTAATATTTACATCATAAAAAAGATTATATATGTTTAAAACAAGAGAAGAAAGAGAAAAAAGTTAGAAAATTATATAGGCATATGATTGCAATATCTAAATTAATTAATAATTTTCAATTAATAGATTTTTATTAATTGATATGTTTTTTTCTTTTAAAACATTTTTAATGCATCTTCAATTTGAAGTGAGGATAAATCGACTGCGATTTGCTTACGATAGAGGTACATGCTTTTAATTTTAAAACTGTGACATAACGAAGGACATTTAAAATAGATCGTCGAAACCGCGTCAGTTTCAAAATTTGTCGCATCTTCTATTTAATAGAATCGTTCCGTAGATAATAGACTCGATAGAAATGGGAAAACAAAAAATCATATTTGCAAGAAAATGTAATTAAATTTAATTTTGATTAAAAAATGTCTAAATTTTTCGAAAATATTTTGCTCCAATGCGTTTCATAGAAAGCTCAACTGAAATTACAGTGAAAAGTGTATACATTTAGAGAAAGTTCTTCGACACAACTCGCGCGGATAAAATAACGGTGTTAAAAGAAGAAAGGCTGCCTTACGAAATACACGATTGGCAATGAAACGTGTTGACATTCAGAGAGACAAGTCAAGAGAAGAAGAAAAATCTAATAATAAACGACGCGTGTATATGCATGTAAGCTTGAAATGAAAGAATCGTCCCTGAAATAGTTTGTTAGGACATAGCATATATTATCGTCGGCATTAGGTAACAGGTAATGTATAAGATGTATGCATACACAATCGATCGGCTGCAAAAAAATCTCTCCAAGCCTGCCAAGAATCGTGACATAATCATAACAAATTCGCAAATAGTGAGATGAGCTTCCTAATTAATTTCTAATTAATCATTCCAATATTTAACGATAAACATTAGCTGCAACACGATAACAAGTCTCGTTATCAATTTACTGTAGAGAAAAAAAATACTCGTTGAGAAGAGTCGTCGTCTCATTAAATTCAACTTTTCATTTCAATTCAAGCTTAAGACGCTTTTTTAATTTTGATTGATTATATAAACATATATGTATTGTTAAATACAGAGACTTTTGAATCCATCCAAAAAATTTTTAAAGAAGCATGATCGAACAACTTGGCCGACCAGATGATATACCATGTGTTCGATAGAGGATGGGCAGATTTCAACCTCGAAAATTGCTGCTAAAATTAGCCAACGTCTAAAAAAAATTATTTAATGGAGAACACGCTCGGTGAAACGAAAGGGATCCTCTGAAATGCACGTTTATGCATGCCACGTGTATATTACGCGCGTGTTGTATAACATCTGAAATTATTTCATTGTGCGCAACATAGAAAATTGGATTTCTTAAATTATACATTTGCTACACAGAAATAATTTTCTCTTAGAATTTACCCTGGACATCATGGTAATCGTGGAATAATATGATATTGGAAGAATTTTATAAAAGTTTCTCTGATTAATATTTACTACAATAAAAAATGTTATTAATATCCATCACAATAAAATATATTTTCAATTAATTTTACCATGTACACTCGTCGACTAAAAGGTTGTCCGCTATGAAGTAAGGACAAAATTATATACATACATACTTATAAGATATACATACATACATCTATTATATTTACAAGATTTACTTCAAAGCGGACAACCTTTTAGTCGACGAGTGTACATATTAATATTTTTCATTGGAATAAATATGAAAAAATTCTCTTATACTATACTTGCCTCACAAAACGGATTATATAAAATATTTTTCGGCGAGATTGTTATTTAATTATTTAATTCGCGATGTTACATAATTATATTTAGAAGTGACGTTTGCGCTTTGAATTGAAATATTGATCCTAATTCATTTAAAATATATATGTATATCACTCTTGACCTGGAGCTACCAATTATCAAAGCGTCTTTTGTTCTAGAGCGCGTTGTGACACGCTCAAAGATGCAGTGACCCGAATTCTCGCAGGCTGTATTATATATTTCTCGAAATGTCAAAGATTTTTCAGACATATATTATTAAATTAAATTTCCAAAAGCATTTTGACAACAACAAAAGAAATTGTACGTTTAAAAATTCTAACTGAAGACAAGATGTTTGTTTAAAAAGAGACTCGGCGATTATAATTAATCAAAAATTCCATTTCTAAATGGATGCACGTTTCTCGGTCACCCTGTATAAATCGGTAACGCAAAGTCACGCGACGCGTGTCAATCGAACATGCGCCGGCACACATTGCGTAATCATCGCGCGCGGAAATAATTTTCCTCATATCGCATTCAGGTGGACAATTTATCGAACAAAAAAAAAGTATTCTTCATTCTTGAGACGAGAGGGAAATGCGCGATTCAACTTCGCGTCAAGCGGCGTGTAAAGTTCCACGTGCGGTTAATTAGAACAAAAAGTTTGCCTGACGTCAGTCTGTTATTCGGTGAAGATGAGTAATGTCATCGATAAGTGACGAGTATGAATAATTCGGACCTGTTCACTTGACGAAAACAGGCCTCATTTTGCGAGAAATTCGAGGATCGATTTCTCGCGAAATGCATGCAATGCGTCGCCGAATGCACTGTTGGAACTTCACGCGAATCGATCGACTGCTTTAATTCTTAAAGATATGAGAGATATCTTTATATAATTAGACTCTATACTGCAGCCTTTTCCTAGAGCAATTCGACCTCGAAGTCTGGCGATCGATTTCAATTTTTTTAAATAATACCATACTTAAAGATATCTATGTGTGTCATAAAGAACATGACATTCAGTTTTCTGCGACACCGTGTATATAAAGTTGATAATAATTAGATACCAATTTTTCTTGTAATATAATAAAAAATATATCTGAGAAAATCGGATATTCTTGCCAAATATCATTATCAAATCACACATGTATAAAAACACACACATACTCACTTAATGTATAGTACATGTAATATTATATAATATTTAAACGTAATATATGTACTTAAATTGAGATTCGATTCTATTAAAAAAAAGAAAAAAACGCGTTTCCGCGATGAGAACATCCTGTCCGTAATAACACTACCACAAGGTCGTATTAGGTAAATCATATATTTAAATACTATACAAAAATGTCATACTTATGGTAGTATGTCTTTAAAAGAACATAAAAATAAAATATAATAAACAAGAATTTTTTTATATGTTTAAGCTTCTTGAAAATGTGTGCGATATCGAAAATCTGGACAAGACATATATATATATATATATATATATATATATATATATATATATATATATATATATATATATATATTTTTAAAAAAATTACATTTATTCTTCTCTTGAAAAACTTTGTTTTTAAAAAGAGGAATGAAATAATAAAAATCTTTTTTATATATATAATTTGGCTTTAAGGCACGCTCACACAAAGCCACGTGTACATACATATAAAATCCCATCTCACAGCTATATTATTTTTCGAAATTCGATCTGATTTCGTAACACAGGTAAGAAGCTTCCGGTTTCACAATGAGATCAATCGTAGCCATTCGAGCGTCCGTCTATCGAAAATTCGCGGAGGTCCACCCGCTCCCTCGATCTCACGGGTGGGTTTTTCGTCGCATCGGTCGATAGAAGACCGCAGCCAGCCAACTTAGCCAACCATCCACCACGAATCCGGCTGTTCGAAAGAGAATCCGCCCTATAAATCACAGACGGCGATCCCCCTCGAACGCCCCGTCACAGATTTCGAATTTCGCAGGGGAAACAAATGACTGATAAATTCGAAAGATGTACTTGCGCCATGTGGCGCGAAATCCCTCGAGCGCGCGTTAAGAAAGAAAAGCACGACGAGTAGACTCACCTGAAGCTCGAGGCAGCGTCTCGGGGTGAAGCGAAAAAGCGCCATTCTGTCTGTGCTGCGGTGGGTTAATCCTGCGCGCGGGATCTCTTCTTCGTTACTGACCGATTCGGCTCGACTGTCTGACTAATCGACCGGTGCGCGCGACGGCGTCCCTACTCCGACTCCGACTGACTTCAGAGCGCGCCGCTTTCACCGCCACGCGCGACGGCGCGCGCATGCGCGGTCCGAGCGCGCATGCGCAGTCCAAGCGCGTCGTTCAGGCGCGGCTATAGGCGTGCAGGACCCCGTCCTAAATTCATGAACACGCAAATTATTCATATTTTGTGCACGTAATTTGAGAAATAGCTTCAGAAATTGTAAGAGTTGTACAATGAAATAAAAATAATTATATCGTGTTTATTTTATGTAATTACAGAAATTAATTTTTGATTAAGAATTTTTCTAAAATGTAGATTTTGAATACCGGCGAATTTGCTACGCACTTCCCGCTTTGGGGAATTCTACGCGCCTGCATATTTCCGCCACTAACGATAATCTACAAATGTATAATGCGATAATATACGATATATAATTTTTTTATTTATATGTCGTTATTGATATTTTTTGTTACCTGTTCAACGTAAATAGATGAAAACCGCATGTAGTTCCGCTCTTAATTACGTCTGTAATTATCTTCACAGTTAAATCAATTACAAATTTCCTTACTGCTTGATTGTCATCCTTTATTCGCGCCAAATCATCTTTAATTTCAATCGGAACTTCAAGCTTGCAAATATCTGTCATCTTTTCTAAACACTCGTAATTCATTGGTGCCAAAATTCCGGGAAGAATTGGAACCTCAATTCCGATGTTTCGACAGTCTTTCACGAATTTTATAAAAACTTGAGATTCGAAGCATATTTGTGTTATAATAAAATCTGCGCCCGCTTCTACCTGAAAATTTTTAATTGTGACTTTTTATTCAAATAAATATATGTATCATAAAATTAAAATTGCAAAATATAATTTGTTATTATGAATAAATATGAATTATTACTTTCGCTTTTAAGTAATACAAGTCGAGTTCCTTTGATAACGATTTCGGATGCATCTGTGGATAACCCGCCACACCTATGCAAAATGTGTCTCCAAATTCTTTTCTTATGAAAGCAACCAAATCCTCTGCATACTTGAAGTCACCGTCTTCGAATAATGAATCTGTAATTCAATTAAAAAATTAATGTATTTTTTTACATGTAATAAAATCAATGAAAAGTAAGCTTCAAGGATAGATTTTATCGCGAATGATTTAAAAAATTATGATAATATGCAAATAAAATATCCAGGATCTATTGGAATATGTCGTAAAAAGTTACAGATATAATTTATTAGAATCTAAAAAAAAAAGAATATTAGAGATCTTTAAAAAGTGAAAGAAGAGAGAAAATTCTTTTGTAAATTTAGAATCTAGATTTTGACTGATTATAAACAAAAGGATTTAAAGAATAAGAAAAATTACCTCCTTGTAGAGCAAATATATTAATTATTCCACAGGCAAGAGCTTCCTTTAAAATACGAACAACTTCATCACGCTTTAGATCTTTTGCTGCTAGATGCAGAAGAGTATTTGATGGAAAGTTTTTTACCAAATCCAAAGGCAAATAGCTATCATTGCTAGAAGTTTCTTCATTATGCCAGGTTAATGCATAAAAAAGTGGCGAATACTTATCCATGTCCAGAAGAAGCCTAATTACATTTTTAAAAATATGCATTATACTTTGTTTTGTAGGAAAATAAAATTCAATATTCTTTATTTCAAAAAATTTTAAACCAATTGTAGATAAATGTTAACATTAATTTAAACACATCATGAATTATTTTTCTATTTACATCCATACATTGTAAAGAATGGTATTGCTAATTGATATAAGTTTCAAACTTACTTATATCATCTTTCTATTTATATCTATATTATTTAATTTAATCTTAGTTGTCTATATTATTTAATTTACATCCTCTACAATTCATGTCAAAAAGACAATGATCCATGATATGCAAGTTAACGCCATCATTTATTTTAATTATCTAAATAATTTCAATAACAAGTTATATATATTTAAAATATCATATTGAAAAAAAATTGCTTCTCGTATTATAATTTTTCTAATTATCATATTAACTGTGTAACTTCAATTGTTTATACAAACCTCTCATAAAATGTTTTGGGTTTCTTCACAGACACAATTTCGAAACTGTAAAAAATTTCGTTTCTACTAATTTTATCTTTTATGGATTGTCGCAGGTCCACGAAGTGATGGAAAGGATTTTCAATATGAGAACTGTACACTGTAAAAGGATCATCTTCACTTTCATGTCTATCAGCGTTACTTTTCTCATGCAGATTTTCCTCCAAAATAAACTTTCGCATTCTAGATTAACGAACAGAAATGTTGATATTCTCATTACTCAATCCATACTAACATTACTCAGCTCGTTATCAAATTATATAATGGAGCAAAAGTAACTATAGTATAGTAATATATGCTACAATGTAAGAATACACAATCTCTCATTGAAAAAAGAGAAATATTAATGAATCTTAATGGTTCTAATCTGCATACATTAATTACTATATATATTGATTAGTAATAAATGTGCAAAACAATATAAGTAAAATATCTGTCATATATTTGCATACATGATTTTACTGTAATAGTATTGTAATAACTTGTTTTAAAAATAATACAAATTGAGTTTTGGAATGTTATGAGAATGTTTTGTTCAAAAAAATTATTTCTTAGTTGCCTCAATTTATACTATTACATAACATTTTCCACTGTTAATCCACACTGATATATATATATTAAATTTATACTAATATTAGAAATAATATATGAAAATATTATTTCTAATAAATTGTATAATTCTTAAATAAAAAAAGTAAATTGTAACTATACATTATTAATTACAAGTTATTGTTTTCTCAAGTATAATTTCCTGCAAACATCTGTAATTGGTATGTCAGAGACAGCTGGAATTCCTCCTGAAATAGTCTCAGTTTTCTGCAGGGCGTGTTTATCCGTGATAGTGCATATATCATCGATATTCGGAGTAATCGACATATTGATAGCAGGATAAATCAGAAACGCGAACGTAGCGAGGGCAGTCAAAGCCCATATGGGAATCGCAATTGCCCAATACTTTGACGGCCAGTACGTCAGACCGAAATAATCGTGCAACACTTCGTCCGGGACTATCGCCCATATCGCGTACAATAGGAAAACCATATTCGAGCCTATATACATGGCGTATCCGTACACTGCTCTGGGACCGTAAGGTGCAGGAGTGTGCTCCATGATGCCTACGTATCTTGCATAACATTAGCTAAAAATTATAATACAAAAAAATATATCATACATGTATTAATCTTGATAGTGATTGTACATCGGTTCAGGTGGACCAAATTGTTGAATAGTTTCCGTGACTAGGAGTAAACTGTCGAAGAAGGCCCCAAGTCCTACGCGTACCTTGCGTGCTTCCTTCCCACTGAATGATCTGCAAAATTGTACACTTTAGTACAGCGATATACAAGAAAATTATTCTTACACCTTCACACATACTTACACTTTCAGAATGTTATTATTTAATACAAGTTTCTTTGTGACTCCGCTTCTTGGAGGTTCGTCGTCAACTCGAAGCACTTGATACGCAATCTCTGCTTCTCTGGCACTTGGAAAAGGCACAGAGAGATCTCTGTTTAGTGCTAAGGATTCTTAAGCTAAAGATGGCGTAAATAGAGTAGCAAGTTTTGCTACTGCAAAAGAAATTATTCTAAATTATTATAATTATTATTATAAATTATCATATAAAGGATACACTTTGAGGTCGCTCATGGCATTCTAGGCACTTGTTGGCTAAATTAAAATGTCCTTCCTGCTATTCTGCAAACATAGATTAAAGCAATATAAATATATTGTCATTACACTAGAAATATACTAATTAAAAATGCTATATAAATTGATAATGAATATGTTCATGTATACGTAGGACTTTAATTATATTAAAATTTCAGGAGTTTTAATAACCGGTTGGTGACCTCGAATTGAGGTTATATAACGTTCAAATTAACTTGAAATTTTATTTAAAAAATAGATTATATTTTTATTATAACAGATAACCCAAAACCGACCGCGAGATAAACTTACTTGCGTAATATATATAATCAATCCTGTATTTATCTAAATCTAAACAATAACAAAATCATCCGAGATCTTACGTTGCAATCAATTGCATCACTCTCGCAGTATCGATATCGATGTTATAATCGACTTTGTATATTCGAGAGCGCGTGTAGGCGTTGCTGACTTCACGTTTATCCCGTTCGTAGTGTAAACATTCCATTGAAAAGAGAAAGGAAAAAAAAACATGAACGGGATATTGCATTTATCTGTCTGGGTCTCGTAATCTCCTTCGAGTAAGTGACAGCCTTCTCTGGACTCTCTTCTTTCGCTCTTGAACTTCGAGATTTTTATTTCTTTGTTCCAGGTTATGATTCACAGCTGCGTTTATTTATCACTTCATTGTCGTCACCTATCAGTTCGCAACTGCCACTCTGTCATGGATAGCTGATTAGTATTATGCCAGACGTCGTGAATATAACGTCGAGGAATTATTTAATATCCAGCATAATTATGACGCGTTATTTATATTATCTAAAATTGTAGTGTCAAAGGGATCTCCAGGCTCCTGTACGTCAATTTAGATAATTAGAATTTTTTAGATCATCAGAATACAATCCCGAATTTGTAATTCTTTATTTTATCTCAATCGTGCATTCTGCGTGTATGTGTTCAAAAGATAAAAATATCTTCTAAATGCAATATTATGTAAAGTATATATTTATGCATTTATTGAAACGAACGAATATAATGCAGTGTTTGATTTAATGATTAGGAATTTTATAAATTGATTATTAATATTGTAAATGCACATGACAAGAGGTGATTGAGCATCCAGCGTCATCAAAGAAAAATATTAAACATGAATGGACCAACAAGGGACGTACCATGGGGTCTCCAAGGCTTCAAGTATATGTGCAATGGCTGCTGCGAACATCGTCGTGTCAATCGAATGGCCTGGCATCAAGGAGGAATACTGGCCCTCACTTATTTAGCGTACACTTGTTACCATATGACTCGGAAGCCAATATCTGTAGTGAAGAGTGTCCTGACTCTCAATTGCAGCAGTTTGCAACCACCTCCGGATATTCCAGTGAATGACAGCAACCGTGACACTTGGTGCGACTGGGCTCCATTTGGTAAAAACAAATATAATACATAAATGTTAACATGGATTAAATATTGTAAGTAATGTAATCAATTATAATTAATATAATAATTATGTTACAATACAATAGTTATAATTTGAAAATAATTTCTCAATATTCATTCTTATGCATTGATTGCAACATCCAAAGATTATTTTTTTATTTTTACAGACACTGAGGATGCGCCAGCATTACTCGGTATGTTGGACTCGGCGTTCCTGTTCGCGTACGCGGCTGCAATGTTTCTCAGGTAGATAATTTGAAGTGACCTTACTCATTTGCCACAAAGCTAAAATACTTTTATGTAATGATCTTGTTTTTGTGCAGTGGCTTTATAGCGGAGAGAGCAAATCTGCGGTACTTCCTTTCTTTTGGTATGCTTGCATCAGGCATATCGAGCTACCTATTTGGAATCGCGAAACCATATAATATCCATAATTTATGGTACTTTATTTTTGTGCAGGTAAATATCAGATTAAAATAAAACATCGACGTATATATTCCACATAATTTCTTCTCTTCTTTTTTTTTTTACATGTGATTACAGGCTTTAGGCGGAATTTTTCAAACTTCTGGCTGGCCTGGTGTGGTAACAGTTGTGGGAAATTGGTTCGGAAGAGGCAAACGTGGTTTGATCTTTGGAGTGTGGAACTCTCATACGTCTTTAGGAAATATATTAGGCAGTTTAATTGCAGCCGCGTACGTCGAGTCCGATTGGAGTTTGAGTTTTATAGTGCCTGGACTGATAATGGGAGCAGTGGGATTCCTCCTCTTCTTGTTTCTAGTGCCGAATCCCGTCGATATAGGATACAGCTCGCCAGCTTCTCTCGAATATCGGAAGATCGACGTGACGAACAGTTCGGACGATGATCAGGCCGATGTAGGTTCCGATTCTCGTAGTATCGGCGAGGACGTAAGTCGCTGTTGATAATATATTGTTATCTTCTCGTTTAGTAAATACCAGCACGCGTACAGCTGTTGTCTTTCAATTTTAGTCGTAATTGTAGAACTGTAGTGTAACACAATCGTTAATTAACACGAGTAATAGCATGTTCGTTAAATTATAAGCATGTTTTTTCCATCTTGAACGTTCCTGGAATTGTGTGCTTTCTCTCAAATTTCCTAATTTTTCAGTAATAGCAAACGCCATGATAACTGTTTAAGTTTACTTATTTTTAGTAGAATTATAGTTTGCACTACCATAATAAATAATCATCTACTGTGTACTACTACCTAGCGTGTCATCTATCGCTGTGTCTACCGTGAACAACTAGATACCAACGTAAGTGCATGCATTCTTTTGTAGCTAATACTATATTCTCACAAACATTATTTCAACGAAAGAATACAATGTGTAAATAATGCATGTATTATGTTACGCATATATTTAATTTATTTGCAACGCTCAAGTCATGCAAAAATATGTATCACATGCAGCAACATAATAATGTATTAACGTAAAATTTATCAAAAATTATAATTTTTCTCTCTAGAAGTAGTGCTTTCTAGTATATATAGATTGTATGTAAAATGTATATACTATTATATATAAATAATATATTATAATTTGTACATATTTTTAAAAGAATTCGGAACGATCAGAGACTAGCCCGATGCTATCAGGACACCGACGTATGCATAGCGTACCTCGTAACAACGCAATCGGATTCATGGGAGCCATAAAGATTCCGGGTGTTATCGAATATTCCTTATCCTTGTTCTTCGCAAAGCTCGTTAGCTATACATTCCTCTACTGGTTACCATTGTACATTGAAGCTTCAAGTATGTTGATATTCACAAAAATATTCTTTGATAAACAATGCAATTTTATAATTCTTGTAATTTTTTACAGCTAGGTACGGCGCAACTACGAGCGCGATTTTATCAATTCTTTTTGATGTTGGCGGGATAGTAGGCGCCATAGCAGCTGGTGTTGTCTCAGATCTCAGTGGCATGAGTGCTGTAACGTGCACTGTGATGCTTGGATTAGCATGTCCTGCGGTAAATGGATTTTATTTACAAATAATAATAAAGTAAAATGATAGCAAAAATTCCTGTGAAAATAAAGCTTGAGCAATATTGTGTCACATTTAGAAAATTTTAAGTCAAAATATTTACTTATACTATAGCAATGCATGCTATAATATAAGCAAAAATGTAGATTTAATCAATGATTGTTCGCTGATCATTTATTTATCCAACTTTCTAAAGTTTTATGAAATACTATCATTATATACTTTGACATGTTCTGATTTCATTGAACATTATAATACAAAATATAATTGCAAACATAAGACTAATTTTTTAAATACATTTTTCAGTTATTTTTATACAATTATATTGGGAACATCAGCTTAGGCGTCAACATAGTATTACTACTAATAGCAGGAGCATTAGTAAATGGTCCTTATGCTTTAATAACGACTGCTGTATCAGCCGAACTAGGAACTCATCCTAATCTAGGAGAAAATTCAAAGGCGTTAGCTACAGTGACTGCAATCATCGATGGAACCGGCAGTATTGGTGCTGCTGTTGGTCCGCTATTGGCGGGTATAGTGTCTCGATGGGCTAAATGGAATAATGTATTTTACATGCTTATGTGCGCAGACTTATTTGCTCTATTGGTGAGTTTATTTTCCCTTGTATGAAAATCGAAATTGTTTATTACACAGGTAACACTATATTTTGTCACATACTATCTATTGTATTTTATTATGTTTCAGCTTTTGTCCAAATTAGTTTATCAAGAAATAAGATTGTATGTGCAAAGACGGAGAGTCATACAAATTTAGAAACAAAACTTGCAAATTATTATATATAAACATGGAAGTACGCGATTTCACGCGTTTTTGGATCTGTGCTTGTATTCTCTCAAAAGTTTAGAAAAATGTTATACAGCATTCCCAAACAAGCCCAAAGTTGAAACATATGAGTCATGTAAATGTACAAAAAAATAAATCGTATATATATTTTTTACAGTATTTTGTTGCAATTGCTGTTGCAACACATGTAAATGCGAATCGATTTAAAAGGATAACAGCATTATTAGGTTAAAATTAAGATTTTCTAAAATATTTGTTTCTTAATCATCTTATATATGTGCTATAAAAAATTTTTCTTTTAATTATATATATATAAATATGAAATGTTACGCGAATTTATATTACGTAAGATTAATATACAAAGATTATTTAATATACATTTTTGTAATAAATTACTGCATACTAACAAAGTATCAACATTAAAGTCAAGGAATACCAGTAGGAATTATGTAGCTGATAGCATCAGCAAAGTCACCCCAAACAGCTCTTTGAGTTTGAAAAGTAATTATCCAAGCTAATAAAGCAGCTGTCCAAATAGTTGCTCCTATAGCGGAGAAAATTACATCTGAAAGAAACAGATGCGCATATTATTATGAGAGGAGAATTTAAAGTATGCTCATATAGAATACATTTAAAAATCAACCAACATTTCTTAATTTGTTTTTGTTCCTCATAAGGTGGTGCAACAAAAGCCTCCTTTGAGAACCAAATTGCATTTACAGCCCATAGAAATGGCAGCAGTGCAAAACCAGCTGTAACAAAGAAAATATTGTAAGAACAACAGACATTTGGCTCTTTTAGTTCCGCTGTAGTTACTCTTTATATTTTAATTAAATATACATTTATAATATCTAGAGGAAGAGAGAGAAACAAAAGAAATATTAAGCATAAACAATAGAGATTTAAATTAATTCTGAACTTGACAATTTATTTTTTTAAACCAAATGTAATATAAGCATTAGATACATACCACGAAAATAGCATTTACAAAGGTGTAATTTCTTTTCGTTGGGTACTTTGGACAAATCCATCTCGTTATCGACGTCTCCTAACCTTCTGTCACACAAGTCCTTTAAATCACTGTATCTTCCTTATCTTCTTTCAATCAAACGCCAATTAATCACATCGAGTCACGTATCATCAATCGTAACGCGATTCCTAAATTGCGCTCATACAAACATCTTGAATATAAATAAAGGAAAAAAACCTACGAATGACAGCTCCGAGAATTTCGACGCATTTTCAATATGGCGGTATATTTATATTCATAGACATAATAGAAAATAGATTCCACAAAAGTATTAGCTCGAGAGAAAAAAGCTCGTGCTACTTACAAACATTTGATCCCTTTGTCATTTAACAGTAAAAGAAATAAAAGCAAATAAATCAATTGTATCTATTTCGAAAAAGAGAGACGCGTGTGAAAATATCTCGCTATCTCTTTCGACGCGTCGTCGCCAACTTCACGGGCCATCTAGGTCTCGCTGCGTCTATGGCCGCGCTTGATTGGGCGGCGCGCGGCGTCACGTGACTCCCCGCGCGGTCACGTGACCCCGCGAGACGCCCGAGTCCCCGCTCGAGTCGCCCCGTGTCAGCCACGGGCCAGCCATTTTGGTACGGTAATATGGCGTCGCCGCCGGAGATTAATATGGCGTCCTCGGACATAATAACCGAAGTGGAGATTCAACCGGATATCCAGGAGGTCGAGATAGAGGCGATACCAGTGGAGATACCGTGCGAGACCGTGGAGACGACGATCGAGGGCGAGGACGGGCAGCCGATGATAGCGCTGCAGCCGCTGCCGGAGCCGGGCCGCGAGGAAATCATACTGCAGACCCAGGAGGAGATAGTCGGCGCGGATCCGTTAAGCGTGTACGATCAGATCCCGGTGCCGGAGAACGACATTTATGTCGAGTCGAGTCCCGGGCCGTCCCGGAAGGCCACGAAGAAGGCGCGCAAAAGCGGTGGTACGCGATTCCGCGCGTCCGAACACGCGATCTTCGGCGAGATGGCCACGGAGACCAAGGCTAGGAAGTGGGAGCAGAAGCAGGTGCAGATCAAGACGCTCGAGGGCGAGTTCTCGGTAACGATGTGGGCGTCCGGGACGGACGACGGTGAGTATCCCGATGACATTTCTACCCTCCCTCCCGTCCTTAAGGTCGACCTTTTCCACGGCCCTGTCCCGCTCTATCCTCTGAAATAAGGAAGGAGGTAAACGCGCTCTCGGGCCTCTCTTTGTCTCTCTTCGGGCGGGCCATACGCACTTCCGGTGCACGACGCTCAGATCGATACTGCGTCGCTCTGCCTCGCTGGCCCGCGCGGTCCTCGACGAGCGAAAATCGTCGACCCGGAGCCCGAGCGTCCGGCCGCTTGACAGATCGGCGTTGTTTGTTTTGATCCTCCGAACGCCATTGTGCTCCGCCACGGGGGCAGCCATATTTTGAAAATGGCCTCTTTTTACGGCGACGAGCTGCTGCCCGCCGCCGAGAAATGGCGGCGGAGCTCGTCTGCGGGACGAGCGACGACGCCACCGGACGCCGTCTCCGATGGTCGTCCTCGGGAATCTCGTCCGATTTACGCGCTTTTCGAAGAGAAACGAAGAGGGAAGAGGATGCGTTTATCCCTGGGAAAATAATATGCCGTGAATTTTGACAGCTCGAAGCGCATGAGACAAGTTGGAAGAAGGGAGCAACGCTCCGACTTCTGACGTCACCGGATAGCCATGCTGCATCGCGAGCTTATATATATCAAATATAAAAGCTTGAGGCGCGTCGATTACGTTAGTAGATTTACTCCCTGTTTTTTGCGTTATTGTGTAAAGAAATAAATCATGTTTCTTGGATTCAAAACAGTTTTCGAATTTATTGTCTCGTAATTTCCGGCGAAAACAATCTGCGTGTTATTGGAGATAATAATATAGCGGGTGTCCCGTTATACTCCGCGATCCTCTATCCTCTAACAAATACTCTTTTTCAATCAAAAATTATATTCAAAGTCTTACAGTTTCAAATTCAAGTTGCCCATTTCGATTTTTAAAAAGAAAAATTAATCTTATATTTATATTTTAATTATATTTTTCGATAATTATTTATATTATATATAGATATATTATATAAATTTATAATATAAATAAAATAATTATCCAAATATAATTAAAGAATCTAATATAAGCGTAAGACAAAAATTCCTGCAACTTTTCATTTCGAATTGTTTGTTTTTGTTAAAGGTAGCGTACTATTAGCGCCTGATCTGAATGTTCCAGATGAAGGTTCGAATCCAGAACCGGATCCAGACTACACAGAATACATGACGGGCAAGAGCAACGCCAAGTTCAACTCGAACAGCTCGGTGTCCGATGGGATGCCGGGGTTGGATCTCTCGGATCCGAAGCAGCTGGCCGAATTCGCACGACCCGGTCACAAGCTGAAGGTGCGCAAGCCACCGGTGATGGACGGTGTGGAACGTACCATCGCCTGTCCGCACAAAGGATGCACGAAGATGTTCCGGGACAACAGCGCGATGCGCAAGCACTTGCACACGCACGGACCCCGGGTGCACGTGTGCGCGGAGTGCGGCAAGGCCTTCGTCGAAAGTTCCAAACTCAAGCGACACCAACTGGTGCACACGGGCGAGAAACCATTTCAGTGCACGTTCGAAGGTTGCGGGAAGAGGTTCAGTCTCGACTTCAATCTACGTACTCACGTGAGAATTCATACCGGCGACCGGCCCTACGTCTGCCCCTTCGACGGATGCAGCAAAAAGTTTGCGCAATCGACGAACCTCAAGTCGCATATACTAACTCACGCGAAGGCTAAGTAAGTCGTCGCCTCGTCAAGCGAAATTTGATACGAGAATTTTTTGAATTTTTGTTTCGAGAAATTTGAAAGAATCTCTGGAGAATTAGATGACAATCATTCCGAATGTGCGTTGATATTAATTCGCTTTTTAGTATGAATAAAAATGGCTGCGTTCAGCAGAAGAAGTAGCTTTGTCAAATTTGTAAATCTGATTGGTGTATGTTCTTCATCTTAACTGAACGTAAGAGCATGCACCAACAGTTGTAAAGCGGCTTCTTCTGCCGAACGCAGCCAATTCAATGTAGAAACTGCATTATCTAACGAAATGTTATCTTATCGAATGATTCCAGGTCAAGGAACGCGATTGGGAGACAAGTACAACAAATTCAACTTCAGCAGCCTCAGTTTGTCCAAGTTGAAGTTGCAGATGTGGACAATCAACAGTTCATTGTCTACGCTGATTAGCCCCCTTAAATATTGATCTCGTGTATCCTTCGCTACTGAACACTATTACTGAAATATCGTAATCATTAATTATTAATCTAAACAGTGTAAATATTTTCATGGAACGTGCAAGCAATGTCACAGATGACACAGGCAGTAGAGTACTGCCTCGAGAGAATTAATGAAAGGATTGATCGATTGATGGAATAATACCTCTGTGCTTAGATACGAATTATTTGAAAAATATCTAGAGCACTTTATATATATATATCGCAAAAAGAAAAAACAAAAATGGGCAAATAATGTTAAGTTACATTACTTAAAAAAAGAAAGAAAGAAAAAAAAGAAAAAAAAATATATATATATATATAATGTACCTTCTAAGGTAACGCAAGCTAGACTGTGACGCGCACTGCTCAATCTCTTGTGAACAAGCGAAATCGAGTGCGCTCGCATTACACATCTAATACACATACACATATATACACAGACACTCGACTGTATATATCTATAAATATATATAAGTACAATTAAAATATTGTATACAGTATATTTTGGAGAAATTCAGATGAGAATAAATCACGAAGATGCATCTTTTTCCGTCGGACTCAATTGTACCATCTTAGTAATACTTACGACTTTTACACTGTATAATGCTGAAACTTGTTGATAAAAGTTATTAAAGAAGAAAAATGAAAAGAACGCGTGTGTATAACGTGTATTAAAAAAAATCCGTAAATATCACGTAATTTCTAACGAATAAACATTTGGTACTGTTTTTATTATCGTTGATTAAATCGCGTCTAAAAGATATTGCGATATTTAATATAAAAAAATGTAATACATGTAAGAATACATGTAAGAAAGATATCAGTGCATATCCGTGATATTTGCGAAAACATTGTAATGTATGCACGCACATCGGTTTATCTAACGACTTCAATCTAATAATTTCGATATCTTGAAATTTGGAGTAAGAAGCAATATATAGTTATGGATATAGATTTAATGTCGATTGTATAAGAATAATGATTGTTTCGCGCGCGCAAATCATTCATTGATCACAATTATTATTCGCATATCACAATTTTTTACGCGGTATATAGCAAATGATATAATGTGTATAATCTGCACATATTGACGAAATCTGGATAATTTATTTCAATTCTGCAAAGTAAATAGATTTAGAGAAAAAAAAAGAATTTTTTGCACAGCTGTGTGTTAATATTTTCTTGTATAATCTTACAAAGTCTTTTTATATATATATATAAAAAAAAGAAAACTTGATTTTTAAAATTATATTTATAATTTGATATAAATCTATTCTATCAATAAACTATCATTTCTATTTATTTCTGCCTTACAGGATTTCATTATACCGCATATTATACTTATCTCTCCTTTTTCTCTTTGTTTTCTTTGTACAATATGAAAAACTATATTTTAATGTATTATATTTTTATATAATGTGTGACTTATATTTGGTTGGCAAATATAATGAGAAAACTGAAGTAAATATAATAATTGTTTCAAAATGCGATTTAAGTTTAAGATAAAATATTCAGATAACTACTCGACATGAGCGAAACGTAATTGTTACTTATTTTGACAAAAAATTCAATAACGATGTGTGCGATTATAACAATGCTTTTCGCCAAAGATCACTCATAATATATTTAATATACATATATACATATATATATACACATATATTCGTATATATGTATATTTTTCGTTAAATTTATAAATATATAACTCTGTGTATTGTTTTTCATGATATATTTAAGTTCGTAATTTATATGTGAAAATATAGCAAAACACGAAATATATATATATTTCTATGCTTATATTTTATTTGTTTCTGTCATTATCGCACAGAAAAACTGTATTCATTCATAATTTCGGGATTACTTAATAACTAACAAGAAGTTTATTACACAGCACTGAAGAATACTAATTCTAGTATCGAGATTACGTGTGTGTGTGTGTGTATATGTATATATAAATATATTAATAGGACGATATGGTCCGGCACACACAAGAAGACAACGTTATTGACGTCCAGTCTTTCCGTTAAATCAAGAGTTCACAAGTATATTCGGAATGAATATTCGTATAAACATAATTCGCTACAATTAGTATCTTCCAGATCGGCCGTCCCTACCTTTGTCGTCTCTCTTCCGGCGATCCTTGGATCTCGATCGTCTGTCGCGCGATCGCGATCTGCGCTTGCGATCTCGGCCACGCGATCGCGATCGCGATCTGGAGCGTCCTCTGCCACTCTTCTTACGACTGTACAAATAACGACGTAGCTCGCGCGAGATGGGCTTCAAATGCATGAAGTTGCAAAATCCAGATCGCGTGCATTCTCTGAAAGAATGAAAGGGAGACGATTAATTTTATTCTTTATCAGAAATTTGTACAAGATTTATATAAATATATATATATATATATATATATATATATATATATATATATATTACCCCATTTCATATTGACGACAGCAAGCTTCTCTAAAATCTGTTACTGGCGAAAGTTCAGCATAAACAGGTCTGCCTCCAAACCAGCGATTGTTCAAATCATTCACAGCTCTTTCTGCATCTTCCTCTCTGCGAAACTTGATATAAACATTGCCCACTAAGTGATCACCGAGATTGTCACATACATTCATCTCTTCGATCTCGCCATACTTGTCTTCACATTCGACAAAAACATCTTCAAAGAAATTGTCATAATGTTCTTGCATTTCTTCATCTGATACATTTGCAACCACTGGAAAAATATTAATGAAATAATTTTTTTTCAATTTAAAGAGTTTAATATCAAGACTTCTTGAACATAAATCGATAATAATAGAGTTATATTTGTAAAATTGTAATCGACTTACAATGAGATCCATCCGCACTCTTGGCAGAGTTTTGAGGATTTACATACAGGTTTTGAAGCAAACATGTCTAAAAAAAGATACAGTTTATTTAAGTATCAATATTAAAGAAATATTCTTAAAAATATTTGCAGTCACATAATAAAATTTAAATTTTATTGCAAAGATAATAATAGAGTGAAATAAAAACTGGAAAATTAATTAAAAATAAAAAGTTTAATAACTGCATGTGTACATAGGTTAGAATAACTAAATCATGAATTAATATTACTTATTTAATTATCTCTACGCACCTGGCTGAATGTCGGCTTGTTGTGAATTCGCGAGCATCTGTCACCGTGACGACAGGCGCCAATTTTGAAATAAAAGGAGCAATTTACTCTAAAAAAGAAAAAAGAATAGGTTAGTAAAGTTTATTCTCGTTTGTTACTCTCTCTCTCTCTCTCTCTCTCTCTCTCTCTCTTCTCTTCCCACAAACACATATAAGTTAAACTTGTAATTTCGCTTGACAACAATTTTCTTACTTGTCTTTCTCGGTTCCGAAGATAGACGCTAGATATTCCGCCATGACTTACGTCGACGTCTCTCAAATTTTATTATCCTTTCTTCTCGAAACGATCGAAAGTCGCCGGCAGTGAACACTTTACATACATCTATCACATACTAATTCACTGATTACCGGAAGAAGACACGCACGCTGACACTGACGTCAAAATGGCGGCAATGCACGTCCATAGATATAAAACAACAAGAGTGTCCTCCGCAATGAAAAAAACTCGCCGAAGATTATCATGAAAGAAAACAATATGGCTGCTACTAGGAGCCAATTAAAAAGCAGGAAAGCAATACGAAATTTTTGCGGGAATTTATGAATTTCAACAGAATGAAGAAATTGACTTGAATTGAATTGTTTGATCAGTTATAAATATTCTTATATAATTTTATTATAAATGGACTTTGTATGCATTTACAAATTTGATTTTCGTCACGATAGAATAATAACAGCTTATATGCGAGATAACTTTTTTCTTATTTTTAAAATAAAATATATATTATAATATCTCATTATAAACGCTTCTCTTTGAAACGATTATCATTTTAGTTTCAATGTCGCAAAAGGAAAAATTGAAAAATCCTAAAACCTTGACTTATATACATGTTACATACACATGTCAATCTTATAATTACAAAAAAATTACAAGTTAAAATTGTATGAACATAACATTTTGAAATTCATCAATGGTTACAAAATTTGTTATATCCTAGACAGTTTTAAAAGTATAATACAGGTAAAAATCGCCTGTATTCCTCTGCGCAATGATTTTATGAGTGGCATTTTGTGTGATACATATTTGATGATAAATATTAACAATACTATGATAATGATTGATCATAAACACATACAGTTGAATCATTTAATATTTTCTGTCCGTCATATGTGTATGTGTTATGCAAATCATTTGTATATAAAAAGTACATAAAAACAAAACTTATATATTAAAAAAAATAATAAATTTCATGTTTATATAATATGTAAAATGCAAATGTATCATTCGACTTTTTACATGTTCTACAATGTAAGAAAATATTTTCCAAAAAACAATGTTAATAATAGAGATGACAAACTTATAACTTATAATACTAACAAGTAAAAATCTGTTTCTTGAAATATAAACATCATATTTATATAAAAATTTTTAGATGAAATTTGATCTGTAAAATAAATAGGATATATATATACATGTGTATGTAACAAATAGAATTATTTCCATGAAAAAACTCTATATGCAACACCCATACTACAAATTCAAAAATGTAGTATTATATATCAGACTTTTTCTCGTTTTTGAAATCTAAACTATTAAATGGCTATGCTGCACTTGTATTTTATGTATTCGTAGAATATTCTTGCTTTCAGTTAGAAAATCAGTGATTAAATACTTTCCAAATACTTTCATAGTGTCTGGTACGTTACAAAAACAGAGAATAAAATTTGGAATAAAATTTGGTGTATTTTGATGAGAAATGCCATGAGGCATAAGAGAATCGTATGTTCACAGATCATAATTAGAAATGAACTTATGACTAGCGTAAACTGGCTAAGATCGAAGAAAGTAATTAATTTTTTTGCTTCCTTTATCCCTCTTTTTTATGGAGTTCCCACAAGTTCCCCCAAGTTGTATGAGTTATCGTGAATTACAAAAACGATCACATATATCGTTTTGATACGTATGAGAATCTACAAGAAATAAATACAAAAATATACATAGACCGTTTAGTACATGAAAGTTTTTAACGCATTTTTATCGAATAAAATTATTCGTTCGCTCAATTTATGACGTATCGTTTGCGTCTGTCCTTATTATTACATTTCTCTATTTTTCTCACATATCGGTACTGTGAGAACCAGTTTTAAATTCATAAGAGAAAAACGGCGATAGATCAGTCACAAAGTAATTTCGCATTGCATTTCCTTGACGCTGTTATTGCGATTCATTAAACACAGAATTATGAAAATTAACAGATATAAAGAAACTTCCTATTATTACTATGAGAGTAATTTCAAAATGTATAAATTAAATCCAAGTGTGCATAAAGTGATTTCTTATAATTGAAAAATGATCATATTGAAATATCATGTTTTTCGACAAATTATTATACAATTGTCAATTAAAATACGGCTTTTATAAAAAAGATAATATAAATTATTTGTAAAATACACACATAAATTACGTTTTCTTATCTTCCGCATTAAAATTGACAATAAAATTCATCTTGGACACTTTAATTTATACATTTGTGCATCTTGAAATATCGCTGAATAAAAATAGAGAAATACACTCGGTATAATGTACATTTTATCGACTATTTCACTCGATACAAATGATAATGAAAGAAAAGCAAATATTTCGAGACACAGAATAAAACTAAACTCAATAAAACTTTTTTTGTCATAAGTTTCAGCACGTTTAGCAATTTTCTTGTTGATTATGTCAACTAATATATCATTATAATTTATTTTCCGTTAATAATAATTTTGTTATACCTAAAAGTCTCAACATTTCCACAATTTTTTCCTATTTATACTTCTTTTTTATAGTTTTTCCTCTCATTTAACGCATTTCGCAAATATATATATAATTTTAGCAATGTATTAATTCCCCTAGATAATACTAATTAAATAATAGACATTATATCACATTAATTTCAATGTTTCTTTAAAGATAATTTTGTTGTTGGTACTGCTCTTCACAATGTGTATCTGCTTTCTCTCTCCCCAACTTTCTAAGCCCCTTATATAAAAACAATTAATTCGATTTTACCACCGGAATGGGGCTTAAATCTTGTCTCTTTTGTAAAAATTAAACTACTTACACAAATATTTTGAAATATACGCAAAGTAAAATAAATGAAATAAAAAAGTAGAGATTAATATATGACGTGATAATCATATCTTACGTATTGGCAAAACATACGTATGTAACTGTTATTTAGCAAGGTAACAGTAATTTATGTTCCACCAATATGTATAATCTCAGCAAGTGATGCAAATGATATATCGAAGAGAAATTATTACGTAGTGTGATGTGTAAGTCGACATTTGTACTCCCGAGCCAAGCTTTGATTGTTGTGCCGGATAAACTAAATCTTGCATTTTTGTTTAATATCCCAGACAACTCCTAATGCCGCAGCCTGAAAATATATTCAAAGAGAAATGTAAAAAAATATATGCGATAAACTTATTCCAAAAAGATTCATAATAATTTATATTTAAAAATTGACCTTAATAATAAAATAACATATAGAAATAATGTACCTTAAAAACAAACTGGCGATGCTGTATTAACATCTCTTATTTCCACGGCGCCGATATTTACGACTTTTCCTGCTTAAGGAAGAATTATATATTAATAATTTTCTCCACATATTTAATAACGTATATTTTTTAATAGCAATCTAAAGTAGATACCTGATCTTGTTCGGAGATGGAACTGATGGAACATGTTCCGCGATAACGGGTAGCACGGATGTAAAGTTTTGAGACGGACGCAAAATAACTGCGGTTCGTGGTGACACTTTCCAAATTAACTTTTGTTTATGAGTTTTGTTTGTTTGCTCCTGAGCGTTATATTTGCTCAATATAGCGCTCACTGCCCCGTGAGTGGAGCGGAAACTTTCCTCTGAAATCTAGTAAAACAAATTGATGAAAATTAGTAAATAAATTATTTAATATAAGGCAAGGATTACTCTTTCCTTGCACATTTTGTTTTATTTTGCTTCAAGATTATTTATTTATTAAAATAATTCTAATTTTAATAAAAAGTAAAAGCTAATTTTTTGCACAAGTTTATCTATACAATATATAATTAACATGAAAAGAACTTTAGATGGGCACTTACATTGCATTTCTTTCGGAGTACCGCAGCAAACTGCATAAGCTCATTTCTTAATCTTTGATATGTCAGTGGGATGGATGCGTTGCGCGATAAATTATTAACAGTAGTGTCCGTATTCGCGTTCATCAATCGATTAACAGCAGCATCCAAGTAACTGCAAAGTACTACCAAAGCCACTTCGGACGGCCTGAGACTCGCGCAATTACCATCGCAAGCTACCATTTCCAATCTGAGAATCAATTCAGATTCCTAAAACGAAACAAACAATAGCTTTTAAGAATAAAATTTAATCGAGTTTGCGCAGTCGTCAAGTTAGGTGTATCTTTTTAAATAAAATTACACATATACAATATAAATTTAATAAGTGCGTCCAATTTTACTTGATGTTCAATATCCCAAGGATCATAACAATTATTTCATCTAATAGATAATAAGAAAAACGATAATGACAACTTACGTTGATGATACTGGCATACAAGTTGTCATGATGCAATTGTCTCGCCACAGCATGGAACATGTTGTTGAACAGCCGTATAAATGTCAGCGCCGTGATGGGTCGAGTATCGGGCGCCCGCTCCAACTTGTTCTTTATCACATCAGACATGCGTCTTAAATCGTCGGCGGTACATCTACATTGTGAGATCGAGACCACGTGGTCGGCGTTCAGGGGTTGCATCTGTTGAGCGGCCGTGTAAAAGGCGGATACGCTGATGCAAGCCATGTACTTCTGTTTCGCCTTCATTCTTGTCAGGAAACAATCCATCAGATTGATCGCCATGAAAAAGACATCCGATGGCAAGTCGTACATCACTTTCAGGCATCTTAGTATGTAAGCGGATTTATCCCGGGCGGCGATACTTATCTCGTTGTCCTGTAAAAGGTGTTCACAATTAATTATCAAAAACTATTAATAATCTGAATAATCGAAATAAGACTTAACTTCAAAATTTACTGCATTGAGTATTGTATTGAAAAATGTTGTCCATATGTTGTCGCTTCTTACCTGTATCGTTATAGGCAATTCATCGAGATTCGGCTGAAATTTAACCTCCTGGACGAGGTTCAGGACTAGGTCCTCTCGTAGTTGTTCGAGTGATGGGATTGCATCCGGTACAGGCAAGCCCGATGTGTCCATTCCTGCGGTGTGTGACATCGCAACAGCTAACTACACCGACAATCTGATTAGGACACTTGACAGCTAGGGATGTAGTATAGCTGATGAGAAGAATCACACAAAACAAGAATGGCCCAGCTGGCTTAGCCTTGTAGCTGTAAAACATATAAAAAAATATCGTTAATTTCATAAATAGATAAATCAAAAGATTTATATTCTGCAAAAATATTTTTAAATCTAACAACATATAATAAAATTCGCAAATCAGATACTCCAAGAGAAATATATTTTATCACATTTAATTTAATAATTAACTTTTTTATTTAAATTCCATATTTTAATTTTTATTTCAAGTTAAATTTTTGTCTAATAAAAAAAAATCGGGAGCTGTAAATAATTTTCGTTATGCAAATCACACGTACAATGATTTTGTCAAAGATATCTTTCATGATCACGCCTACGTCATTGAAATAATCGTGCGTCATGCGTGAGCAGATTTACGATTATGCAAGGTCGACCGAGATCTTTTTCTTTTTTAGCACGACTGATCGTGTCGACGACATAAATAAAATATTATATTACGTGCTTCATGCATATACCGACCCAATTGGAAAGAGAGAGTTTCATGAATGCACGATTCTGATGAAGCACGTTCCTCGACTTTTCCTTTACTCTCGCGATCATCATCGGATGCAACAATGCAAGAGAATCGAATAAATATACGAAACGATTTAAGCAAAAAAAGAATGAACAAACTTGATTTCACGGTCACAATTAAAGTACACTTTCAAAAGCAAGGGCAAAGATTGCAATACATATTCAAACAAACTCCTACTCTAGAAGAATGTATATGATGGAATATCTAAATTTGAAATTATAAATGTCTATATTAATAAAGTCGATGTGGACATTACAATTCAATAAAATTTTCTAGAAAAATATTTAAAAAATACATATATAAATTAGACAATATAACATAATTTAGGTAACAATTTAGGTAAATTATTATCACGATAATTTAACAAAATTTTATAGAAATTTGTATACACGAGATAGAATTGAATACGTAAAAAAATACACGAATAATAGAATTTAATATATAATATATATATGGAGGTCGATATAAGTTAGAAAATAATTTCCAAGTAATTAAGAGTTAAAGGTGGCTCGTTTTCAAATAAAACAAAATTATTGACGTTTATCGGTAATCTTACGTCATAGCGAAGATAGAAGAACAAAACTTCGAGAAACTTCGTCGAAAAAAAATGTGTATCGTTAAAAGTTGATTTGCATAGAAATCATCGACCATGATTTCACGGTCACGCATTGACTTTCGATCGCGAACCGAACGAGAGAGACAATGAAATATAATTATTATTATTTAATGATAAACATTCGTGCAAGAGATAAAAACAATGCAGCGAGATTAAAGCGACGTAAACAAGAACGAAATGTCAAAAACAAATATTTAAATATTTTTTATCGAATATAACAAGATTGTTTAATGTGCAAGCACGTATCTGCATTTATCTCTTTCCCGACATCGCGTCAACATGCAACTTTATAATTACTGATTAAAAACAAAAGAGGAAAATGTGTTTCATTGGTTGAAATGAGAATTTTGAAAATCAAGGTCTTTAAAAATATAAATTATATGATTAATCCTGAAATCGCTACATAGAAAGAATTTGATTTCGAAATGAAAATTGTAGAGTTGCAGCTTTCTCTCTATATAATAGTAGTTAATTAACCATAATAAATTATATATCAAATGATGAATTTATTACACGATTAAATATTAATTGCTTTTTAATTTAATTCCAAGTACTGCCGGATTAAATGCTGATTGCCTAATTAATTATTTTCACTGATCCGAAAGATTGAAACACGAATTTCGTCAGAATTCTTATATAAGCAAATCGAAATTGTTGAAGAATTAGTTGATTATTTTCATTATTTTTTTCAAAATAGATAATAAAAATTTACATATTATTTAGGTCAATTTATGTCCTCAATAAAATATAATGCGATCTTGTTTCAAGGTTCTAATATATGGCACACGATTCGACAAGGTTTGCATTCTGACGTAATGTTAGACGATCTTCTCTCACAAAAAGGCACGTCACAAAATTTATGCGTTGTCAGTTTTTCGTGATAACATCATCTTAATCATAAAAAAATGTTGCAACCAACGATAATAAAAATCGAGACGTAATGACATATGAACGTGAAAAATAAGTTTTAAATTATGATTAAAAAAGTAAAGAATTAAAATATATGTACATCATAAAATATATATCGATATATATTCAATAAAATAATTTTAAACTTCTCTCTCATCCATCTGTTCATTGCAAAAAAATATATATTATACAATCTATTCTAATTTTTTTATCGAGCAGTTTTCTAGAACTGTCTTTTTTTAGAATATTATTGTAAATTTCGCTCGAATTAATCGACTCTCGTTGCAAGAATGAAAAGACTAGAATATTCTCGATGACATTCGAAGATTCCTTCGAATTGAGAACAAACGCGAATGTAAAAATATCGAATCGAGAACAAACACAAATGTAAAAATTGAAGCAAAACTAGCTGAAAAAATTCTCGCGTTAAATTATTGCACTATTCTGCGCTGCAAAGTTCATTAAACTAACGTGACATTAAATCATAGATATATAGAAGGTCACTGATAATGTGAGCCAAAGCAACTTTTATAATTAGTGTAAAGCATAAGTTAAATATAATTTAGAAGCAAACGAGAAATATCATTAGAAATATTCGCCAAAGTTCGTCGAAAAAATTCATGATTTCACAAATACTTTCACAAGTATTTTTAACATATTAGAGCGAATAATTTAGACAAGATTCGTGAGATAAATAAATTATAATATATTTTTCCTGCGTAAAACGAAATGCAATGAAATTCAAAATCGCGCGATTAAATGGCAATTAAATCTCGATGCAAAACTTGGCGGGAAAACAGAGCATAAACAATCTTCTCGCGATTCATTCCGAAGAAAGTGCATAAAAATGTATGCGATTCGCGCTACTTTGTTTATGGTAATGCAGAGAGAGAGGGGAACAGAGAAAATACTCACGTATATCACAGCAAGTATGTGGTATCTCGTTAAACAAAGACATACATAAGGCACGATGAGAGCAGCTGATGCAACGCGAGAGCTGTCAAACTCGCTGTCAAACTGGCTTTCGGATGCACTTTTGCGATCAGCAAAAAATAGAAAATAAAATGCGTTTCTACGGATTTTTGACATTCTTCTCAAAAATTACATTTAATCACTTCTTTCTCTCCTCGCGAAAACTGTCAACCCCGATTTTTTCATCTTGATAACACGAGAAGAGATTTAAATATATCTTCGAAAAAAATACGTCACAAAATACATATGTATATATATGTGAATGCACGTGCGATATGTATTTACAAATGCAACACTTCGCAAAAAGTGCGCTTAGATGTGCCCTCGCGAACAAAAGAAACACACACAGGTACGCCAACTCACTTATTTTGTGCGTAAAAAAATAAAACTGACAGACCGACTCACTCCGAGCTAATGCGCATATGCGTGACATTGCGTGACGCGACGCAGAGAGGGCACTAGGAGTAGGGAGTCGAAGGCCGAAGGTGACCGAGCGCGCGCGACAATGCCCGAACGCGAAATGCGTAGAACAATCATCTCGTGTATTTGGGAGTGAGAATGTTGATGTTTTATCTCCTTCTCTCTCTGCACTATTCTGGAGCAGATTTCAGAGAAGGAATATATATTGTCTTTCGAGGAGTAATTAAACGTATAAGGATGGAAATGACACTTGATGAGAAATACGTAATTAAATTAATTATAAATTAATCATAAATGCGAAATTAATAAACAATCTATATTGTTGAATTGATATCGTAATATTATTTATTCGTGGATATCACGAATTTAATCTGGTTCTAGATGGAATTCTAACAATGTTCCTTTATCTACTCTGAACGTGAACCATTTATATGTAAATATGTAAGTTATAAAAATATGTAAGTTTGGAATTTGTAAATCAGTTAAGAAGTGGATTAGGAGAAGAAAACACGATGCTTAAAATTCTTTTAGATTTCTTTCGGAAGAACGAGAAAGATGTTTGTGTTATATCGAAACTGCACTTTCGCAGAAAAAAATTCAACGACTAAATGTTAATAAAATCGTATTTTTTTTATCGAATATATAAAAAAATATTTTACATTTAATAGGAATTTTATAAGCAACTCATATAATATTTAATTTTGCTAAATATTTTTTATTATTATAATATATATATATATATAATTTTAAATCGTATTTTTTTTATCGAATATATAAAAAAATATTTTTTATTTAATAAGAAGTTTATAAGCAACTCATATAATATTTAATTTTGCTAAATATTTTTTTATTATTATAATATATGTATATAATTTTCGTACATAAAAACAAAGTATTTTCGTATCACAGAGAAGGTTAAAGGTTACGTCATCACTGTATACACTACGAGAGTTCAATGCACCCGGATTTCAGTGCAATACCGACATAAACGTTTATCGATTTTCCTACGTTACACACAAGTTACAAGATGTAATATATATATTTTTGTTAAATGCAAACAGAGCAAATATGTCAATTGTATGTATATAAAATGAATGCATGTTATATAATAAATAAATCAAACAAGAGATAAATATAATAACTGCAAGCAATGGTAATTAAACTAATAGAAGCAGCGATAACCATTAACATCATTAATTATCACGAGTATTAATTAATCACAAAATGACGAATGAGTGAATTTTATCGCGCCCATTTTTATTCGTCAATCATATATAATTAATTCACGCGACCTTTCCGCAAGTGTCATTTACCACTTTAATAATAGCTGCATGTCACAAAAGGGGGAGCATAATTAATTTAGAATTAATCTTAAAAATATAAAGAAGATTGCTTTACGTTAGAATCGGCAAACCTCTATTTAAACATATAAAAATCAATGTTAAAAACAAGTTTATCATAATCTCGAATAATATTTTTAATTTTACTCATCACATATGTTTCGTTATTTTGTCTCTCTTTCTTGTAAATTTAAAACTGCATCTGGGAAAATGCATATCATTAATATAACTGTAACGAGATACCTAATTTTTTTAAAATATGATTTATGGCGAAAAAAATCTATTCTATAGCTAAAAAAGTAGCATATATATTTTTTTCTTCTTTTCTTATTTTAAATCTAAAAAATGTAGCTTGTGATGTATTTATAGCTCCGTTTTCACGCCATTGTTGCTGTTTTGTCTGCTCTCTCTCGATTCAAATTAAAATGCATATACATATATTCTCTTTGTTTTCACAATACATTAATTTCATTCAACTGGAAAAATCAGTGATAGACTAAAATTAGCTTTGCCGAGAAAGAGGAATAAACTAGAGATAAATCTCTGTGTTATTTTCGCTACATTAATTATACGTGAATTGTGGGAAAGCTGTTTATTTTAACAGTTATTTCGTTTACAATCGAGAAAAGCATTCGCGACAATAACTCATAGACAAGTATGCAATGATGCAATAACCTGCATGTATCTAGCCTTATTTGTCACGCAAATGAATGCCCAATTATCATAAACAATAAAAGCGATCTTCGTTATTCCTCTCAAATATCAATATTTTTTTAAATATGCAATTTGAACAAGAGAAAGGATCTTTTTATAACATAACCCTTTCCCTGCACAAAGAAATGCAACTGAGTGCAGCTAAAGTGATATTAGATTAAAATCAAAGATAATTAGGTCTGCAAATTTTTTGCTGCCCTTTTCATGTTTTAAAGACAGAGGATGTATATTTAGATATGAAAAAAGAAGAGTGACTACAGAAAATATATGTGGGAAATATACGCCTAGTAATCATTCAAATTGACCGAAACATTCCTGAGAAAATGGGATATGTTCTTTCATCGTTCGTAAATTCGCAGCTAAATTAATGGCAAAAGATCACTCACCCGGATGCGTCCGAAACGTCTTCACGTCAACGGATCATCCGATCTTGAGGCCTGCGTCTTGTTTCTCGGTCCAAGAGGATAAACAGGAACCAAACGAGGAGGTTCTCTACAAACTGATCGGAGCTGGCGACGGTTTGTCGAACGATACGAAGTTGCCTCTTCACCCTTCCCCCACTTTTATTGCGCCGCCAATTTCAGCTGATCGGCGAAGCAGCGCCGCCATCTCGCGGACGCGTGACAAACTATCGTTTGGCGGGAATTTCAAACTTCTTCGAATTTCTTCTTTTCAAATAACTTCAATTTTTTCTTACTAACAAACTTGTTAATTTAACTGTTCGTAGAAACGTTTATATAAAAGTTAATAGTCTAAATTGTTATTGTATAATTGTAATATTTGAGAAAATCACTTATATAACCTCGTTAATATATGTTTAAATCATTTTTCATATGTAAATTATAACTATCTTATCGTATGAAAATATGATTTATTTTGTTAATAAGATAATTTATTCTTCATCATTGATGATCAAAAATGCTCATGTTAGCAATTTTAATTAAAATGTTATAAATTTTCCTATTACATTATTGCTTTAGACAATGCACACAATGTTGACGTTTCTTTTTATTTCTCAGACAATTGCACCAACAATCTCGACTGATTAACTTTAATTAAAATTACCATTAAGCTTTAATCATATGATAAAAGAACTAATATATTTGTTATATAATTCTTTATATAAGCTCTAGAGAGAAAATTAAATTAGATGCGTTTGGAAAAATTGTTGATGCAATTGACCATATTTTTACTACACTCCAATACACCATTTTATATCATAAATTTTTACGAAAATTGATTTAATTCTTGTGATTCATTATCTCTTTCCTTTTCCAGTTGTTTTACAGCTCTTTCCAGAGCAAACAGATGTTCGTCTTGTACACCAGGAGCTATTGTACGCATGGCGGATGCTAGTTTGTAGAGATATTCAGTATTGGAACCACTAATACCACGCGAAACCAGTATATGATTCGCAATGATATCTATATTCTCTGTACCAGCGAAATTTGGATTATCTTCTTCACCTATGTAAATGGTGAGGTAGAATGGTGCTTCATTCGAAGTGATTGACAAAGATGTTGTCGAGATGCTCGTGAGATCACTCGAAAAGACATTGGCGTTTGAGCTGCTTTGGATAGATTTAGAGAAATCACAGGGATAAAAAAGGACGGTTTTCTTCTTGTAACCACCTTTCTCTCGAAAATCCAAATGATTGACCACATTGTCTATGTTCTCCGTGGATATCTTGTATGCAACTCCCCATACCTTGTCATTGGCATCAGTAGAAGCGAGCAATGTCACTACACGTCCCGGCTAAAGAAACAGAAAGAAAAATTAGATATTTATATTTAATTATATTTGATAGATTTATTATATTTAAGCAACAAGAGAATCACTGACACTAAATCTTGGGAGTGCATTCTAAGCAGCAGCATGCACTTCTTTAAGAGAGAAATATTAATTTAAATAATTAGAATAATTATATAATTTAAAATAACAATTAAAAAAAAAAAAATCATATATATAATTACTTTAAATAATAAAAAAGATAAATGTAGAAATGTTAAAATTATTTATTTTTTTCCAGGAAGAACTCACTCTGTTAGGCACCCCTCTGTGGTCGGTGCTTTTCTGGTAAAAGCGCCTAATATATCCCCTGATGTGACCGACGAGTTTCTTCTCGTAAGGAAAGTCCGCTTTCCATATCAGAGAGCCATAACCAAACACCCACATGCTCGCTTGTAATGTCCGCGTGGGACAGCTTTCTCGTCGACGATAAGAAAAATTACGTCGCACGCCAGTGCGGACTCCGTCTGACGTTTCGAATGACAGGATCGCCTTTCAGTGCCGCAACATAATTCACCGAATTATCCACCTGGAATTTATGCCCCATGTTATCACGTCTGACGCGTGCCGCCACGCGTACATAACCTTTTTATCGAGATCTCTCTCGAACGTCATCTCATGCAATAAACTGACGATGCGTGTTTTCTTATCGCGAAATAATTTTTAAATCACCGAATGCGAGAGCATGATGATTTCCAGACTGTCACGTACGAACGTCCTCGCTATACGATGCCTAGAGGATCTCGTCCTCGTGGGTTAGTCGAAATGATAATCAAATATTTTTTTATTCGTCTAATAAAGTGTCACAAAATTGCTCACATTTACATTTGACAGATTGTAGAATATTATATATATATATATATATATATATATATATACTTTATATATATTAGAAGAATATTAAGATATTAATTATATTAAGAAGAATATTAATTATAAGAATATATTAGTAGAATATATATATATATATATATATATATATATATATATATATATATTTATCGTAAAGCATTTATTTATTATTGATACAGGTATGGGACCTACACTTTGGGTCTTTGAGCACTCCAAGTTTTGTGAAAATTATGAATTAAAAGAGAAATTGGATTGTCTATACCCAAATAATATACATGGCATTGTGGTGGGACCTAATAATAAATTAGCTGTATTTGGTGCTAAATCTATATGTATTTGCAACATTGTTAATCAAAGAGGAGAAATAACGTGAGTATATTTAAATATATATAATTGAAGAAAACTTATTTTGTACGATAATATATTATCTTCTATTGCAGATTTGTAAAACAAAGCACTGATCAATTAAATGACTGGATAATTGCTGTAGAATGGATATCTATTAAGGAACAAATGCAATTGGCAATTTTATTTGCCCATAATTATTTATGCATATACAATATACTTGACAAATCTACTCAAGTTGTGCATTGTACAGAAAAATGCATACTGTATCCTTTTGTAATTTTCATTAATTCTTGCAGAAATAATTAATATTTATCTGAAATATGGTAATTTTCTTAATTAATATATAGCTATGGTGGATCTATATCAGGAACTTGTCAAGAAAATCTAGTCATTTTCAGTGGAACAGTATTTCAAGAAATTTTAATATGGAAAATAGATAATAATTATGATATTAATGAAAGAATGCCAGTTTTGCATCGCTTAATAGGACATAAGGTTGGTACAATTATACTTAAAGGGACAAGCAAATAAAAATCTTATACAATACTTATTCTAGGGTGTGATTTTTTCTGTTATTTATGATTCATGTTCACGGCTTATTTGTTCCACATCTGATGATAGAAGCGTCAGGTTCTGGAGAATGATAAAAAATGAGAATCCTGAAAGCAATAATTTGAATTGGAAGACAGCAAAAATAATCCCAGTAAAAACAATGTTTGTTCATTCAGCAAGAGTTTGGAAAGCTGTAATCAGAGATAATATTGTTGTGACAATAGGAGAGGTAAAATTCAAATAATATATAAAAAATTATAATTTATTTTTATATTTTCTGTTGTTTCTATTCTTCTGTTCTATGAATAGGATTCACTTATATGCACATGGTCACTCTCGGGTAATTTACTTAGTAAAGCTCATCATGGATCACCTATATGGAGTATTGATATATCTAAAGACAATAAAAAGATATTCACTGGTGGGGCTGATGGATCTGTATACATGTGGCAAACTGCACACCACATTAATCCAAAAATAATTTCTCTTTCTACTAATGATACTCATAACAATCCTAAATGTATATCTTACTTAAGGAATGGCACACTATTGATCTTTGATGAAAATGGAATGCTATTTTGTTATGACAAAGAAAAAATGTTACATACAAAATATTCTCTATGCTCAGAAATACATCGCAGCTATTACATCATGCAAGTTTCTTCAGATCGTTCTTTTGTTGCATTTGCATCTAGAGAAGGATATGTAATAATATATCAAGGTATGAACATTAATTGCAATATAAAAATCAAAATATAAATAATTTTTTCTATAAGTTATCGTTACTTTTACTTAAATTCTTCTTTAATCAGATCATTAAATTAAATTGTATTAGCGGATTTTGTTACCGGATATGTACATCGGATTATCGAAGAAAGAATAATGGAATCACAAATCTTTTCCTTACACTGGTTGGGATATACTAGCTTAATAGCATGTGGAGCAAATGGTCTTTTGAAAATGTTTACAATTGAAGGTATGTATATTATATATGTATATTATATATATATATATATATATATATATTTATATATATATATATATATATATATATATACAGTTATGTTAAATATCTGAAAATAAATATCTTGTTACTATTGCTTAATTATTCTTATTATACAGGTAGAATTCATATAAATACACAGTTTATATTACCCTCCAGTAGAGAACGTTGGCTAACTGCAGCTACAATTTACAAACAGTTGTTAGTATGTGGAGATAGAGCTGGGAATGTTTATGTATATAAATTGAATGAACAGGCAAATGGGAATATTGAAAAACCTGTTCAAATATTCAATAGAGTTCACGGTAAAATAGGAGTCCAGTCGTTTGCTATTTGGGAAGAAAAGTTAATGACAACTGGACGCGATGGAATATTGAGATTTTACGAACTGAGTAAAGACGACACAAAGCCCTTATTAATGTTGCATAAGAAGAAGATGCCAATAGACTGGATCAGTGGCATGTTAAAGTCAGCAGATGGACACTGTACTCCTTTTATATTAGGTTTTAAGGAGGTATTAAATAAAATATATACATAAAATAAATATTAAACATAGAAAAACTGAAAAAAAATTATAATTATTTTTTCATAGGTGGAATTTATAATATATAATTTGTCGACTGAAAGTATATTAATTAGAGTTCCCTGCGGTGGTGGTCATAGATCGTGGGACTGTATGATATTAGATGAAACAACAAGTTTTATTTATATACAAAACAAGCAGATTTATGTTTTTGATTATCCTTTATCTTCGGCGTCTTCTCCTATTTTACAGGTATGTATATAATATATACATAAATTGTTTAAAAAACAACTATGCAAATCTCTAAATTGCTATTTTTTCTTTTTCTAGAATGGTTTTCATACAAAGGAGACATATTGCTTGCAACATATTTCAAAACTCGGTCTTTTTAAACAAGATATTTTCATATCTGGTGGGGAAGATTGCACTCTTCGTGTTAGTTCTATTTGTGAATTGTTTAAAAATAATCCTCACAGTGTCTTCCATAATTTAGGAAACTTTGATGGTCATCTTTCGGGCATAAAATGCATAAGCACTGTTAAATTAAAAGAAACTGATTTAAGTAGCAAATATTTAGTTTTTTCTGGTGGAGGAAGAGCACAACTGAAGATTTGGGAAATAAGACTCAAAGATAAAGATTGGATATCATCAAACGATTTATCATGTTCTGATTTAAAATCTCATATGCTCTATGGACAAGATCAATATCGTAGAAAATCTTGGCAGGAATCGAAGCAATCGTATATTATTGAACCAGAAACGCGTTATATGGATATTTGTACATATTATTCTTCTAAGAATGCTAATCATGTGTTAATCTTTATAGCTTGTGCAGATGGATACTTAAGGTAATTCGATCTACTTGATCTTTTTTTATTTATTTACTTGAATTTATTTACTTCATGCTAATAGAATAATGTTGTAATTTTCTGTTATAGATTATTCCTATATAATATCAAAACCAATGACATATGTTTGAAAGTATCTACCAAATACATAGACCGTTGTATTTTGAAGATGTACATATTATTGCATAAATCCAAAGTGGTCATATTAACAATGACTACAGATGGAATATTACGTTTTTTCAATTTTACCGATACAATTTCGAAAATATACAAAGATGCAAATATCGAAAACCAAGATATTATAGATTTTAACGACAGTCCTTTCTCAGAATTAAGCTTGCATCAATCAGGGATTAATTCTTTCGATTTAAAGCACATGGATGAGGATAGATACCTCTTGGTCACTGGAGGCGATGACAATCTTCTCAATCTCGTTTGCTTTCAACTTTGCATATCGGAAAATAATATCTTGTCACTTTTAACATTGTCTAAATGGAATACAGCAACTGCACATTCCGCACAAATCACAGGTATGTAAATACAATATTTTAAGCAGAGAATATAAATTATACATTCCACAAGCTAAAAATTTATAAAGATGATACCAATAGGTCTGAAATTTAAAGACGATGATCAAATATGCAGCGTGGGAATAGACCAGCAAGTTATCATCCATAGTTATTCATGGTCTCATGGAGTCATATCTGCAAATATCTTAAATCAAGTATTTACATCTGTCACAGATGTGCAAGGCATGGACTTGTGGCCTTCCAATGAGTAAGTTTAAGAATTTGTCGAATATCATTAAATTTTTTTGCTTCATCCTGATAAAAAGAAATATTAAAATTGATTTTATGTTTTTACCAACAGCAGTGTCTTGTGCATATATGGAAGAGGCTTTGAAGTACTATCCATCTAAAAAAATATAAGAATTCTTATTTGCATAAAATTTTTTATGCAAATATTTTTACACAATATCACAATTATTAAATTTTATTTATTTTTATATAAACTCAGGGTATTATATATGTAAATATAATCTAAGGAATCACATTAGATTATATAATGGTAGTAATATAATTATATTATAATTTACTTTTTTTATTCTATTTTTGGTGTGAATGACGAAAACAACAGACTAATTATGCAATTATTATTATTAAAAAATTAAAAAAAATAAAAGATATCCGCTTCCAGTTTTAAAATAACTTCACGTTGTCTCCACCAGATGTCAGCCTGTGTTAAAAAAAGATGGCTATATTCACGAAAACATCGATTTGACAGCTATAATATCTGATAATAGATACATTTGTATACAAATAATTACAGGATACATAAGAAATAATTATTTAAAAATGTCGAGCATCACGATATCAGCGATAAGACCACGGACGAGTATCCTCGACAAATCGTTGAGCAAAGGCAAGGGAGAGGTTAGTCTGAGCTGTTTTGCCCTCTTGTTCTCCGAACTTGTACAATACTGTCAAAACAGAGTCTACACCGTTCCAGAGCTACAAAATAAGTAAGAGAAACGAATTTGATTTTTCCTCCAAAAAATTATTCCAATGACATTTTTATTCAAGTGTTATTTATCTGTCATGATCATAGGCTGGCGGAGATGGGAGCAGAAGTTGGACATAGAATAACAGACTTGCTCGTCATGCGAGAGAAGAATGGTAAACGCGAAATAAAACTGCTCAATGTGTTGTTGTTTGTCAAAAGTACAATGTGGAAGTCCTTGTTTGGTCGAGAAGCTGACAAGCTGGAACACGCCAATGATGATGAGCGTACTTATTATATCATTGAAAAGGAATCTCTGGTAAACAAATTTGTGTCGGTGCCCAAGGACAAGGGAAGCTTGAACTGTGCCTCCTTTGTCGCAGGTATCGTGGAGGCTGTGCTTTGTGACTGCGGCTTTGTAAGTAATGTCTCTTTCCATTTATCAGTTTTGAAATTTAGGAATCTTCAATCTTCATTGTGTATCTTTATGGTGCTGAGATATTTACAAAAACATGTTTATATTATGAGATATTTACAAAAACATGTTTATGTCATGAGATATTTACAAAAACATGTTTATGTAGCCTGCAAAAGTAACTGCTCACTGGCACAAGGGAACCACGTACATGGTTAAGTTTGACGATGCTGTTGTTGCACGTGACAAGCAACTTGAAGATCGGTAATAAAAAAGAAAAATGATATAGAGAGAAAATATGTAATTTATCTATATATAAGTTTATCTTAATTATTAAAATAAATCGATAAGGTCCTCATTAATCAAGTTAAATACACATTTTGTGTGTTTTATATTTTTAAGGCTGGCTTTAAAATATAATGTCTTTTTCTTTTTGAATTAATTGCATTTTTATAATAATGTGTTCTTATAAAGATTACCTTCAAATCTTTTTTTTTAATCTTAGTCTCTTTCTAATGTAATATTTAAAATTAGTATTGTAGTTTGATAGTTTATTTCACTATACATTCCAGCGATACATTACAACTGTGCTTATATTTTGCTAAATATTTCTACAACTATATCTAAACGAATTTAAATTCTCTGTCTGCATAACTGACTTGCCCAGTACGATATAAATGTTCTTTTGCATCCTGCGGGAAATATAATATCTTAATATTGCAGTACATGATTCATTCTTTATGTATCATGATTTTTTTACAAATAATCCAGCTTACCCTTCTTTTTTTGAGAAAATATGCAGTTAAAATAATAGAACTCGCAAGAAATCCCACTCTTGTAACATAATTTAACACTGTAGGTACAAAATATTTTTCTACTGATGTTTTTGTCGCAGCAAATCTGTGTAATCCTGTGTCAAACTATATACATAAGAAATTAGTAATTATGACAAAATATTCAAAATTAATTAATTCGTACATTATTAAAATGATAAAAAAAAACATTTTTAAACTGACACATTACTAAATTAAAAGACATAAGATAGCTCCTGCTATTCAACGAACTTGTCAAGCCTATTATGTAATTTCTATATGGATACATTTATGTATTGTAAGATACAAGCACACAGTTAAAATATTATATACGTTTATATTTATGACTTATAAATGAACTTTTTCCTATCTTTCTTTCTTCTATCGTCATTATACTTGCAATACATTACTCTTATTTTAAAAAATATTGAAAAAATATTTTTTTTTCTAACGTACCATAAAAATCAGAATGTTGCATTTATTAAAGTTTAATAAAAATTTGAGGGACATTACGAGTTATTATATCGTGCATAAATAAATAAATAAATAAAATATTAGATAGAGTACTGCGAGATAATTAATAGACTTTTAATAATAAATATCGTATGCGGCGAAGATAAATATACATTCGTAGAGGTTAAATTCTAGATTTTTCGTGCACATATAAAACGTACCAGGAGACTCTTGGTCGGATGTCCCGAATCCTTCAGGTATAATTCACGCAATTCTCTCCGTTTCGCGTCTCTCCACAGCATAATTTCTCGTTGTTCCGGCGTGACATTGTAATATTCCTTCTTCGGGGCATGATTAACCTCTCTTCAATCTAATTCCTGTTTTCTTACGAACGACTTTATCGACCGCTCTGGAATGCGCGAGGCATGAAATTCCGACTTGCACGTCGTGTCAAAATATTTATTGTAAGTATTAGACAAACAAATTTTCCAAACTAGAAATATTCTGCGCGTTTTATCTCATTCCTAAAATAATAGATATCGCAATCATTCTCTATGAAATAATTTAGAGTATAATTTCTCAGAAGCTAAATCAAATTAATCAACTATATATCCACTTTTCAAAAATTTTTCCATTTTTATTGTAGCAGTATTAAAATTAAGAATATAAATAATAAAAGTAGTAATAATTTTGTATCATTTTATTAGTAATAATTTTAATTATATTTAGTTAAATTTATTACAGAATAAAAAATTAATAATAAACTTAATTTAATTTTTAAGAGACAAATTATAAGTTCAATTAAAGAATAATAAATAATAAAATAAAAGAACTGATAAATATAAATACAAAAATTCCCGCCTTATTATTACGTCATCGATAAGTTCCTAAAACGAGACGAAAAACAAGAAATAATAAATTATAAGAAAGTTGCGAAAGTGCAGTTAATCAATTTGATGATTTCTGAGAAGCTATGAAATGATGCGTCGAATTAACGAAGCATGACCCGTCATTGATATTTACCGTCCAAATACGACGCAATAATATATAATAATATACATACGATAAGAGGAATTTAATCGTAAGCGACTTTGATCGCGAGTTATCGTTTCCGCCTTCAAAAAGTGCCGTCCTGCGCAGCTAGCTTCCCCTCGTGAGAAAGAAGATTACAAGAATCTGGGTTATTTGATACATCCTTTATCACGAGCACATGACTCGCGGGCGTAACATTGTCTACTCAGCGTATATAAATGTGTACATAAGTGTCGATAAAACATGCGTCTTTCTGTATACAATAGAGTGCAAATTGTTAAAAGGTTATCCCGCGCATCGGAATTTGACAGATACAGAAAAAAAGTGCGTCGAGTCGACCGTCAATGACTCACGTAGTCTATGGCGGAGTGGAGGGGAGACTGGGGGATACAAAAGATCGACGCGAAGTTGTCAGCTGTCAGTCATTGCTCGTTCGGCATAGGAAGTGGATCTTCGCAGCTCGCTTCAGTTTATTAACCTAATTGTTTCCGTTAGAGAAAAGGAAAAATTCTAGTGAGTACTAATTATTAGTTTCCTTTCGTTTTATCAAATCGAACAATGCGTATAAATTGATCTTTTCGGAAAAAAAGGACGAAGGACTCGCGAAGTAGGGTTACTAAACATCTATATTTTTCCTTGTTTCCGTTATCCTTTTAAAATAAATATTCGATACACGTCTTTTTTTTGCGCATCTTCCACGCAGGAAAGGTGTTGTTTATTTGGATTTGCATAACCGTGGAGCAGCTGTTCGGAGAGATCGATCAATTTAATGTATTTTGACTCGTAAAACGCAATGAAATGTGACGCTATCGGTTACGACACATAAGATCCGGTTTCTTTATGCGTACATCCTTTGTGCGTCTAAATAAACGGGCCAATTTCACAATCAGATGGGAGCAAATTAGGACAAATTAGATTTGTTTGAGCTAATCTAGAATCTGTATGCGAGAATGCACACGAAGATCCTATACAGTGTCATAAATAAATCGGAAAAGCGCGAAAACAACGTGATACATTTGTTTTTCTCGCCCTTTCTCTGCCCTTGACGCGTGAACAAGAGCAGCTTGGTTAAAAATTCAAATTACAAAATTGAATTGAATTTACAGTCAACAGTCAACACGACTCACGTTCCAATCGCATGAATATGACATTTCTTGTGACTGATACTTTATTGTCAACCTTTGTTTGAAATAATTATCATGCGTCAAATTGTCGGAAACAAATGATGTCGCGCGATGGAGACTCATATTTACAATTCTATATATTCTCTATACCACGTGACCTTTCGACAAAATGCATTATCACGCAGAAACAGAATAAAAGCAACCGCCTATCTAATGCGTAGTTGGGAAAAGATTAAATATATTTTTATTCTTTAATATCTCTTGAAATACGCAGTTCGTAATCGCGTGATTTATTTGTGGAGCGTTTAACTGAAAAGATAACGTCTCATAATTATGATAGATTAATGTTGCTCTAGACGCATCGCTTTAGTTTCTAAGAAGTCGAATTGAATTAAGCGATACCTTAAAAATATCGTGGAGATTACGAATGCATGACTAATCTCGAATGCATCGAAACGTATAACATGAAAAGATAGCATGTGTGTCATTGTGTGTCATTTTTCATTTCAGACAATGGCAATGATACACATGTATTTTATTTCGTCCTACAAAATCACCTTTAAAAAGCGTAAAAGTTTAGAATTTTATCAATTAATTTATTAATTAATTTTATTAATAGAGAGTGTTTCACGACGAATATCTCTCTGGAAATATATATATTAATTATTTTCAACTGGGATGTCGTATAATTTTATAGAAAAAATTTCGTGCATTTGTTCAGACATTTTTATAAAGTACAATTATTCGAAAAAAATACAATTAATTAGCTCTCTTATAATCCTAAACTTTAATTTTCAATAGAATAAAATTTATAACGTCTTGGAATAAAATACATATTTTCGCAAAGTCCGAAAAATTCATGCAAGCGAAACAGGAAAAGATAAGAGACTTGCGCGACCCAGAAACAAAAAAGTATCTTCCGGGACATACATTCATTAATTTTTGTTTGACGCATGAATTGAGCAACTCCATTGTTCGATATGTTGCTGAATATCTTGGAAGATCCGTTATCTCCACGATGCAAGATCGTGCGCGTTCTCATGGAAAAAATAAAAAAAAAAAGAATCTGACATTAGGTCGAAGCGAGGCGATTATATTAAAACCAGCATCGTTTTCGCATTTAGATTTGTACTTCTATCTGTTGCGAGAAATATATGCGTCATTCGCCGCATCGTTAAAACCGCAATCTTCATGGGCTAATTAACGTCACGATTGCTCGTATTTCGGAGGACGCGGAGTATGGAAAATAAAATAATAGACCGCGCGATTTTTTATTTTTTTTTAATTTGATATATACGCGTGGATATTGTTCGCAACATTTATAGCGAGTGCGTCGTTTTTAATTCATTCATTATCGGAGGAAAAAATAAATAAAGTCTCTCCTCCGACACGTAAAGATTACGACTTCATGCGAGACGATAATTGCGACAAAACAAAACAAAAAATGACGGAAGACCAGCTGATGTAATTCTCACGAATGTATGTAATTTTCGAAATTTCGGTCACGCAGTTCATCTAATAATCATATCTCTAATGTAATGTTGACAGTATTAAAAGCGATATAAACAGCATCTTGAAAATTCACATTTTAAGAGAGAAAGAGAGATACAACTGTAATGTTATTATAAAATATTTAAATTTGTTTAATAATATCGAATAAATGAACAATTTAAACAATTGTCGTGAAATTTTCATATTTATACTTCTGAAAAATTTCTTATATATTTTAATATTTTAAAGTTATTTAAGTTGCAGTTTAATATTAAAATATTTTCTCATTTTTAGGTAAATTTTTGAAGATTCATCATGAAGAGCGTTCTGGCATTGTTGTTGCTGGCAGTAGTTGTCTCAGGACAAGCTGTTTCCTTCAATCAAATTCTAGATGCAGAATGGTTTATTTTCAAGGTATAAGATCATATTTATATTTTCAATTATTGCATTTTGCAATCATCAATGATTGCATCATATATAAATATTTATTTCTTTTATATCTAATTATTAGTGAATAATGATACTGATAGGATATTGTTGATAATATCAGTTACAGATTACTTTAAAACTCTTGAATCATATTTCTTGTGTAGACTGTTTGTTAAATAAATATTATCTTAATCAATATATTGTTAGAACCAAACAAAGACATATAGATATGATTCAAAATGTGATAGTTATTTAAAAGACTCTTAAAATGAAATCATGAATATTACATGCAAAAAAGTAAAATAAATATTTTGTAATGTTCTCTTCTTCTGAATAAAAAACGAATATTACAAGATGCAATTATTTGAGACATTTCTACTAATTATTCAAATGATTAAGAAATAGAATAAATATTGATTATATTTGTTATTATTTCTCAGGCACATCATAAAAAGATTTACAAATCGCCGATTGAAGAGGGATACAGAATGAAGATCTTTTTGGACAACAAGCGCAAGATTGTTGAACACAATCGCAGGTATGAGATGAAGGAAGTCAGCTACAAACTAGGAATGAACAAGTATGGAGATATGGTACGTTTTCAAAAGTGAATTATATGATTAATTGTGAGATGAACAATTATTTAGGAAATACATATTTTTTCTTATAGTTGCATCACGAAGTTGTCAATACTTTGAATGGCTTTAACAAATCAGTGAGTGAAATTAGCGACCAGTCTGTGGGAGCATCATACATCGAGCCAGCTAATATCGAGTTACCAAGAGAAATCGATTGGAGAACAAAAGGTGCTGTCACTGCTGTTAAGGATCAAGGACAATGTGGATCCTGCTGGGCATTCTCTTCTGTAAGTCTATTTTAATGTCTTTTTAATATTAACATTTTGATTTAACTTCAAAAAATTTTATCCTTGAACTATTTTAACTGATATTTAAACTCATTCAATTGCATCATTATTTTAATATATAATCTCAAAGGATATCTTAATGTTTCTATGTTTTGTTATGCAATTCTTAATTTTTTCTTGATAATCTTATCATTACTAAGAATTATCTATTGTGTCTTTTTTCTTATAGACTGGAGCTTTGGAAGGACAACATTTTAGACAGACTGGCGTTTTGGTGTCATTGAGTGAACAAAACTTGGTTGATTGTTCTGGCAAATATGGTAACAATGGATGCAATGGTGGTTTGATGGATAATGCTTTCCGATATGTCAAAGACAACAAAGGCCTTGATACTGAGAAGAGTTATCCATACGAAGCGGAAAATGACAACTGCAGGTATGTGTGTGTTAATTATCGTGCATGACGCAAACGTTCATTTGTAGAATCTGATGATTTATTATATTTCTAAAATTGCAGATACAATCCGAAAAACAGTGGTGCTTCCGATGTCGGTTTTGTAGACATTCCAGAAGGAAACGAGGAAAAGTTGAAGGCTGCAGTCGCCACCATGGGTCCAGTTTCAGTTGCCATTGATGCTTCTCATGAATCCTTCCATCTTTATAGCGAAGGTATATATTATACATATAATTAATTGGTTAAATATATTGACAATATTATCCTATATTAGATCATAATGATCAGCGATGATCAACATTAAATATAAATATAACAGTATAATAGAAAAGAGAGTAGAATTTTATTTAACAATAAATTCATAATTTAATATATATAAGATTCATTATATATACTATTAAAAAATGGATTTATTTGTAGTCTACTTTTTGCTTTGACATTTTTTTCTCTGTTGCTTCAAAGTTTTCTCATTTTTCAGGAGTCTATTACGAGCCTGACTGTAGTTCAGAAAATTTGGATCATGGTGTTCTGATTGTTGGCTATGGCACAGATTCGGAAACTAACGAAGATTACTGGCTGGTAAAGAATAGCTGGGGTGAAACGTGGGGTGAGAAAGGTTACATTAAGATGGCCAGAAATAAGGATAACCATTGTGGTATAGCGAGCAGTGCCAGCTATCCTCTTGTTTAATGTTCAATGCTAGTTGGCAAGCAAATTTTCTTAGCCTGTTATAATCTACTGAAACATGACAGATGTACTGAGGGACCTAATAAAGTTTCGAGATCTTTATAAAAAATGCTCATGGAGCACTTTTTATAGAAGCAATTTTGTTTAAATCACATTTATAGCATAATGTGAATTTTGACATTTTTGCGATCAATACTTATTGCTTTCTTCGAGCTATGAAAAAGAACTGATATTACAAAAATCAGATATTCTTTGGTAATTTTATAACTTTTTTTTTAGGTCCCTATATATATATATATAAATAATTAATTAATTCAAATAAAAATACAAAAGAGAACGCTCGTGGTGCGAATCGCAATGGTTGTGAATCTACGAAATAGCGATTTGCCATTTGATTCTTTTGTATTTTTATTATTAAGTTTAACAACAATTGCGAACGTTATTTTAAGTTGTATTTAATATGCATATACTACTTGGTATTTGAAATAATGTCAAGCTATCCTAAAAAAAAAAAATTAATGCTATTTTATTTCTCCAACTGAAATATATTGCTCATATACGTACCGAATTTAGATATTATGAAATCTAATTATATAATTAAAATAATTAAGACTAGAAAAAGTTTGTATTGCAATTATAATACATTTATTTTTTATGGTAATTCATGGTCAAGGCATTATTTACTAGACAAACTAATCTATTTTTGAAACGAAAACAGATAAAATAAAGATTTTCTTGACAACCACCAGTCTTGTTTACCTGCCAATTTTTTGTGAATTGAAACTGAATAATGTACAGTGCAAAATGCTTACAAATTACACTGATGTGTTCTGCTGCGTTGATTATGATAACTTTTGTTTGCAATATCTATAAAAACTGCGTAATGTTATTTTAATTATGGTTTAAATGTGATGGCTTATTGTGAACCTAAAATATGAGTATATGTATATAAAAGTTTTATATAGATATATATAAAAATATATAAATTTCATTTTTTTCTATTGTAAAAATTTAAATCATATGTAACTAAAGAAACTAGATACAATTCTAATATGTATGTTAATGATTTGTCGAAATTATACTTATCAGAAAGTTTAAATTATGTAATGCATAAAATTGCTTTGCAAAAAGACTTTTCAGCCATGACAGCCAGATAAATGACATATGTTACTTGTTACTTGTCAGTATTAATTGAATAATTTGCGAATATAATTGTGATACTTCTTATCATTGTGAAGAGATCATTTAGCCAAAGTTATATAAAAAATATATATATTCACATTTTTTTGTTATTACCGATTAATTTGACGTCACAAATCCACAAAATATGTTTAATATTGTTGAAATAATGATTGATCATCTAAAATCTAATGTTCACATTCGAATGTCATTTATCAATATACGTATTGCGACAATTTCTGATAAGTATAGTCAATGTGTAATGATAACAAACCAGGAAAATATAACTTCCTTATGTTAAACAGTTAAACTAATGTATAAATCTCAAAAGCCAATAGATCAGGAGAGTCAATTTTTTAAAATTTCTTATCCATTTTTTTAATTCAATCGATAACACTAGAACAAACAAGGTAATGAGCAAAAGATGCGAAAACCAATTTTTAAATATATGTAATATACATTCAAAAACACGCTTATCACATCTATTGTTAAAACACTGTTTTTCATAAAAGTTCTTTTATATTTATATCATTCTTAGTACTATTATCTTAATATTAATTTTATTACAATGTAATATCTACATATATGAAATTTCATATTTCGCGCGTGTTCGATAATCGATCATACGGTGCGCGCGCACAGTGCACATATCGAAAAATTCTAAACGTCTGGCCGGCATGATAACGGATTCTGTGTTTACATTTACGTGCATTTGGAATTGATTTTTGTCATCCTATAATATATACATATTGCACAAGGAGTCACTCTTGACACCATGAAGATCGTCCTCGTGACTGGCGGTACGGGACTCGTTGGCAGAGCCATTCAAAGTGTTCTCGAACAGAACGCGAAAGAGGAGAGATGGATATTTGTCGGGTCCAAAGATGCGGATTTATGGTAAATTAAATCGATCTACAATTATTAGCGAAATATGTGAATTATAACGATTATGTAATTCTGATCGAATGGTATTTTTACAGCGATAAAGAGAGCACTCGTAGATTATTTGACCTTCATAAACCGACACATGTTGTTCATCTGGCTGCCATGGTCGGTGGGCTTTTCCATAATATGTCGCACAATTTGGATTTTCTGGTAAATATTTCACACAGGAATTAGTATTATTTAATATTATAATTGTATTTAAAGCCCTGTCTTTGATTGTATGATGTTAATGTTAAATTTTATCCTTGCAGCGGAATAATATACACATGAATGACAATGTTCTCCAAACTGCTCATGACCACAATGTTACCAAGGTTGTTTCGTGCCTTTCTACTTGTATATTTCCTGATAAGACAACTTATCCAATTGATGAAACCATGGTAATAATATTAAATATATTAAACATGTATGTCAATTGCTGTAATAACTACAAGTGAATATAATTATTCTATTATTGAATTTTTAGGTTCATAATGGGCCGCCACATCCCTCAAATTATGGTTACAGTTATGCTAAGCGACTTATAGATATTGCAAATAGGGGTTATCATGATCAGCATGGCAGACTATACACCAGTGTAATTCCTTGTAATGTCTTTGGCCCTAATGATAATTTCCATCCTAATGCGAGCCATGTTATACCAGGTTTAATGCGAAGACTTTACGATTTATGCAAAGATGGTATGTAATCAAGTTTTATGTATACCACTTGAATTTATTATTAGATAATTTATTATAATTTATTATTAAGTTATCTTTGTATCTTTTTTTTTATAGGAAATACAGAGAATAAGACTTTCTCTGTGCTGGGTTCTGGGAAACCTTTAAGACAATTTATTTATAGCAAAGACTTAGCAAAATTAATAATTTGGGTCGTGCGAGAATACGATTCTGTGGAACCAATTATATTATCAGGTAATTATTTATGTAAAAGAGTTTTTTTATGCCTAATATTTTTTTATGATAGAATTAATAATCTTTTTGTATAATTTGTCCAATTAATATAGTATATAGATTATTATTTTCTATCTCCATAATTTTATTTTATTATTTCTATCTTGACATCATAAATGTTGATTGACTTTATTACAAAATGTATCAGTTTATTGACATGTAAATTATCAGAAAAAAATTGATTATTTTCAGTGGATGAGTCACAAGAGAAATCAATAGCGCAAGTTGCTGAGACTTTAGTGCAAGCTTTCAATTTCAAAGGCAAAGTGGTATATGATACGTCAGCGGCAGACGGTCAATATAAGAAAACGGCGAGTAATGCAAAATTGCGAAGGTATTTACCCGATTTTCAATTTACACCTTTTGAACAAGCAATTAAAGAGACTGTTGATTGGTATATAAAAAACTACGATTGTGCAAGGAATTAAGATAGCTGGAAGCTGGATTATAATTTGCTCAGATATTGCAAATGCTTTCATTTCCATGAATTAGCATTTCCAATTCAAACTTGTGTCTAGATTCATAACATCACAATTGTTGAATCCGAAAGGATTAACAATTGTATGTGTGATAATTTAACAGCTATCAGTTTATCATAGTTATTATCGATATTTTTATGGTGTCTATTGATTTTTGTTACAAAAAGTAAGTATATACATTTAATTTTATATTTTAATTTTATAAGTATAAATTCCAATTATGGTTCACTAGAATCCTCAGATTAATGCTGAGCAATACAAATGTTAGTTGTTAAAAATGGGGGAAGGTGAAATTGAAAATATACGAGTATCGATCGTATAACTTCGCCATATTGTAAATAATTATATTTTTGCAATAAACGATCTTTGCAGAACGTTTTATTCATTGCCGAGATCGTTTTGTACGGCCATTGATCTTTACAGGCGAGCTCGATCGAGATCGATCAATACAGGGTAAGCGAGGTATTTTCAGACCATTAAATAAACATTGATGATATTTTTATTGAGCTGGAATTTTAAGTTCCTGCGCGCACACTAAAGATAGATCTCAAACGAGCAGCTGGAGCGCGATGCATTTATTTTCGCTCGCGCGCAACGTATATTTTAGGTCAGTTAGTCCATAAATTGGACTGATGGATCGTTTTATGATCTCTATTGACTATTATGGAAATGGAAACGTAATTTCGCAAATGCGAGTAGTAAGTCGTAAAAAAGTCACTTTGCTGAATTAGAAATTAGAATATTGAGTATTTTCTTTAATCCTTAATATGTTTATATGCATATGCATATTTTATCATATAAACTTTTAAATTTGAGATCAATTTTTTCTCAATAGAAATTAACTCTGGTAAATTAAATACATGTGCAAATAAGGATGCAAATACATTGAAAAAAAATTTGTTTAACTTGATTAAACCTTTCAATTAAATATTATTTTGTTAATTGAACATACATTAGTATTTTAGTCAAATATGCGTTTTGTTAGATTTAATATATTTAATTTAAATATTTTTATATATGTTCAATTATAGTAAAATAATATTTAGTTGAAAGATTTCATCAAGTTGAATTTTTTTTCTGTATAAAGAAAAACCTTCCTCTTTATCCAATTTCAAATGTCCCTCAGCGAATGTCTGATTTAAGATTTAATCTTCAATAAAGGAGGGAACAACATTTCGAAGTTTTTGCCAAGAAACCTTTGGCTTTAAAATTTCTCATTAATTACACACGGGACATAAATGAAGAGTCATTTTACTATTAATTAATTACTGTATTACCTCGAATTGCAAAATTCGAATAAAGAGCAATATCCGTCTACTAAATTACTTGTCTCGACGACGTTCGCGTTCTCGTCGTAAAGAACAATCCCGGTTAACGCGAGGAGAATTTTAATTATTCGAGTGTACAATCAGCGCGAGAGAACAATGGACTGGGAAATAAAAGATCGGTCGATCGAGGGGTAAAAAAAGGATCACCTCTCGACAGCACCGCCGTCATCGCGATCGATTCGGCCAAAGATAACTACGTGTAAACCTTATCGGAATAAGTCTTCATCGCGATACGAGGGGGTGCGTTTCCCTCGAGAGAAATAAATCGCCGTTTCTCTTTTTTTTTTTTTTTTTTTTTTTCCCCAAAATATATCATCTTGTCGGTCACTCTCGGTCTTCGAAATCAATCGAATTCGAGCGAACGTATAATAATTAATTAATAAACGCTCGTTGAATTAAATAATTAATAATTAATTGACTTCCTGATGCAGGACATAATCAGATTTCGCGGCTCGTTTATTTTCGATAACTCGAAGAATTAGAGTTCTGCAAAGGTAAAATAAACGCGCGCGTTGAAAATTTTTTATCCATATTTGCATACCTAAAGAATCATTATACTCTGTAGATTCTATTATGAAACTTATCCTCGGACTTTCTCGGTTGCATCTCTGCTCTTGAATTTTATTATTCCCGCTTTTATTTTAATATATATTTTATTGAAAAAAATATAAGTATAATATACTATTTATTTTACCCTATTAATATATTTTAATATATTTTATTTTAATATTTAATTGTATAATTCCTCCCTCATCCGTCTGATGTTTCGCCAAAAGGTTTAATTAAAATAACAAGAAGATATTTTTTTCCGAAATAAATTGCGTACACAAATCTCGCCCCTTGCTTTTCACCCTTCGTGAATATGCATGCGCACGCGATAAACCTAAATAATTATTTTTTTTTATCAATGAATAACGATTCTAAGCTCCACGTGTCTTTCATAAGTCACGCGTACGCGATAAGATAAGGGGATGCTGAGTCGGAAGTATCCGGCTTTATACATGCTTGTACAATTTTCCTTTACGATCGCGTGCGATTGCGCATTCTGGCTACTCGGTCACCGAGAGTGTCCTGAGATACCTCTCACCCTGTAAAAAGTCAGCACAAACAGCTATATATAAAGCCGAGCTGTTGCAGGGGATGTCTCGGAGAAAATGCTGTAACGGGGTCGATAAAAGAATTATCAGATTTCAATCAGAATGATAGATTGAAGCTTCCCTCGGTCATTCTTCGATATCAACCCCAATATTCATTAATTAATAAGGATACGACAAAGAAAGAAACTTTTCTCAAATATATATATATATATATATATATATATATACAATACATTTGTAATATGTTAAATTATTTATCTCAATATTGACATGTGTAAAAAAAAGTATTCAAAATTCACCGCTTAATTTTCCAATTTTTCCCGCGCAAAACCTAGAAAAACACGTAGAAATCCCTTAGATCTATCACGAATAATAGTATGCGCGATATCGCAGTAAACTACTTAATCTGCCAATCGAGCTGCGGGAGAAACGCGTTCGCGACAGACGCGAAAAATAAATCTGATAAAAAAAAGAAAAAGGGGGTAGAAAAAAGAGGGAGAGAACGCGGAACAAACATTCCCCGCCGCGGCGGGGGTGCGCGCGCGACGCGTCGGGGCGCAGGCGCGCGCTGTCATTCCATGAGTGGGGGAGGGCTCGCCGCGGGGCCGGCGGCCGGCGTTCGGTCAGTCGCGTTCGGGGGTGGCTCGTGTCGACACGTCGTCGCGTCGCGTGACGTAACGTAACGTTTACGTTTACGCCGGTCGAGAGATGCGCTCCTCTCGCGGTGGTGGCGCGGACGCGGGTTCGTCGTGATTACGCGCTCTCGGCACGTGGCCGAGGCGATGGTGAGGGTGTGCACGGTAAACTGAAAGGTGGTGCGAAAGATTACGGGGAGATATGACGTGTTCGAGGACGCGAGCCGATTTTCCGTTTCGTCGCGAATAGCGTGAAGTTGTCGCGAAAGAGCCGGAAGTGAGACAGTGGGAACGCTGCTATCTTCTCGAGGGATCGAGGACTCGCGACAGCTTTCAGGTTCCTCGTTTACGTCACGAATAGCGTGAAGTTGCCGCGAAAGAGAAGAGAGAAAGTGGCAGCGGTGCTACTTTACTCTCGAAGGATCGAGGCGTTCGTGAAGAACTTTGACGACGAAGGGTCGCAGGATGACGCGTCCTCCGGGAAGATAAGGTGCACGAAATAAGAGCGTTCGGTGATCGGCCGCGAGACAAGGCCGACGAACCGACGCTGACAAGGGTCGCCGCCACCGCGGCGAATCGTCAACGAGGTAAGCGTGCACCCTCCCCCCTCCCAAAATGCGGATCTTTGCTGCGAGAGCGGAGATTCGGATTAAAAGCGATCGTCGATCTCCTGGGACACCGGAAATCACGAGTAAAATCATTTTTTCGCGCGTAAAAAAAAACAATCAACATAACCTATTGATGCAATTTTGCGAACGCGTTCCTTGATTAGCGTAAAAAAAAGATTTAGATATAAAATTGCACGATTCAAGATGATAATAATAAGTGGAAAATTATGCGATGAATTAAATGGAAATTTTATATGGATCTTTTGTTAATTCGTTTTTCGTGTAATTTTCTATATTTCTAATAAATTTCCAATCTATTTGCTAAAGCTCTTTAATTTATCGTAATTGTCTGAATTTGACTAATGTGATTAGTTATTTTCGAAATCTCATTAAGCTTTAATTTTATTTGAGGTTAAATTCAAGCAGTTCAACTAAGGTTGAATCTTAGAAATCTCATTAATTCACAATTGTCGTAGTTAAATTTAGTTGATGTAAAGTCTAGCTTTACTTCAACGGTAGTTAAAGTCTGGATAATAATAATTTTAATAGTATATAGTAACTCGCAAAGCATTACGAATTTAAACGATAACATTGAGAACAATTTTCGATTTCTCAAAATTATCGTCATGATAAACCAATTTCTTCGAAAGAGCACTTTATGCAAAATGATCCATCGAGTTTTAGCAATAATCGTGCAATAATAATTATAACTATAAGAATTACAACACGGTTGAAAAATTTGTGTTAATTTAACATAATATAGATATGTTAAATGGGAGACACAAATATTATGTTAATATTTTAACACAAAATAAATGCAAAACTTCGAATATTTTAAATAAATTTTGTGTAAAATTAAAAATAGAAAATAGATTTTTTCAGTATTTTTAATAATTTAACACATAAATTCTCAATTAACACAAGTTAAATTAACACATGAATATGTTAAATATTTAACACACAAATTTTAACGGGGACCGAAGAAAAATTTTTTTACTGTGAAATTTCGGCGAGAAGATTGAAAATGATTTTGCTTTTTTTTCTGAAACTATTTTCAATCGTGATTTCCTTAGATCTTTTATGAAATAAATGATTTGTATAACGCAAAAATTCATTTTGTGTCTAAAAATCCGAGGTACGTCACTTAAGGTAATTGGCCATATAATAGCAATTTGCAACAATGAACAACACGAAAGCAATAAAGAAAAAAAGAGCGAAGATAAGTTCGCCGGCGAACGTTAATTTGATTAGAAGATATCGATTATTCGATTATTCTCGCACGCACAAGCTCACAGAATTAACATCACGTCGACTTGAACACGTATTTTTTTTATTCTCCCTCGAAATTGTACGTTTGATTTGACAATTCGGCTCCTATATCTTTCATGTGCGACTTTTTCAGGTTGAAATATGATTTAATTAAATGACGTGACTGAGGGTTTTGACAAGCATGAATTCTAAAATAGAAATAAATCCTACAATGTATAGATTTTCAGTAAAAATAAAAAACTATAGCTTATCTTTACGCTGAAAAAAAATATTAACTTGACTGAACCTTTCAACAAAATTACTATTTTGTTAATTAAACATATATTATATAGTATTTGAATAAAAAATATACATCATTTTGTTAGATTTAATGTTATATTTAACTTAAATATTTGTATATGTTAAGTTAATAAAATAATATTTAATTGAAAGATTTAATAGTCAAGTTAACACATTTTTTTTCTACAGTGTTTCCATATAAATAAAATGCGAAATGTTCGAAAATTAAAGAAAGAGGAGAAGAAATATGTTTTCATATTACATTTTTCAAAAGTTATTTTCCACATACGTGAATCTGTCATACGGAATCATATGTGACGATCGACACGTGACGCTGCCTATATTATTTTATATTCTCTTTCGCGCACGATGAATAAAATATTCGTTTTACACTTCGGAATCAATTTCCTGAACTGTTGCGTCGATATAATTTTATATATCTTTTTTTGCCTCGTTTTTGATTACTCCTTTTTATTATATCCGTCATCCATTAAACACTTTGCGTATAATTGTTACGTTGATAGCATATTGATAGTTTTCTTTTTAATTTTTCGGAAAAAGAGCCGTAATTATTACAGGCATTACGCGTCGCCTTTTTCGCAAAATCTGCAATATCGCTGTAATTAATAATAAAACATGCTAGCGACCGGAATAATTGGAATTTTTCCGTTTCTCAACGCGTTCGCATTTTTATCGCCGACTGTGCTGTAATTTTGTCGAGGTCACAAATTGTTTTGCAAAAAAAAAAGAAAAATTAAGCAAGGAAGTGAATTTTCCTCAACTTTTGACATCGTCATCCTAACATGGAAATTTCGTGACTTTACTCGTCGTCGATGAACTTTTGCAATCGGAGTTCCAGGTCTTACAGATATAAAAAACGCAAAGAAATTGCAAATTATATTTTCTTCTATCACTTTTTTTACTATAAAAAATCTCGCGTCTTTAATCGATCGAGATGATCGTGTCTTATTTTTTGTGTGCGAATTTGTGTCCAATTTTATTGTTTATCGAATTTTTCTCCGTATATAATTATATTGTAAGGAACCACAGGTGCAACAAACTTGTTTTATTTATTTTTTTAACGTTTCCTCCTCCACTCTTTGTCAGTCTTCTTTGTGCCTGTTTTATTATTATATTTTTATTATTACTACATCGTAAAGATTGTCGCTTTCATATACGTGTATGCTTTACAGACGTGTTTCGTAAAGGCCAATCGTAAACTATGCGGAGAATCTCGAGGGTACGTAATGCACTTTGGCGACGCGATATACATACAAGAGTTTTCACTCGGCACAATTCGAAGTCGTTTCACGATTCAGAGATGCTTAACTCTTTAAGCGCGGATCCGACTTCTTTAAAGAACGAAAACTTTTTGTTTCTTCTCGCGATTTTTCTGCGAAGAAAAGCTCGAGCAATTTAATTCGCCATTTTACGGATGAAATAACGCGAGCTTTTTCATTCGCTTCACTATCCAATGTTATTTCCGCACGATTTTATTGATAACATAACACATATCGCGGGCGGATATATTTTTCGCCGATATAATGCGGGACAAAAGATCGATCTCGAACCATTTAAACATCCAAGTTTTCTCATTATTCGACAACAATGTACTTTTTATGTGAATCTTTGAGTTATATTCGAGGGACTATATCGAAGACCCTCGAATATTTCAGCGAAAAATGTGTTTGAGTGAACTTCTCTCTTGACTTTTGTTATAAGGTCTTTTGAAAATCGATTGTATGCACAGGATTTTTAACCATCTGATATATAAAATAATATTGCAAACAATAAAGTGAAATTTTATTATATTTAATATTTATAGAATAAAATTGAAATAAGTATACATTTAAGTTAAAAATATCATTAAAAATCTTTAAATAAATATTTCTACATAATAATTTCGATTTAAACAATTTTTGCGACAAAAAAAGAGGATTTTTTGTTTCCAATTTTATATTCTAATGTATATCTTGTAACATTTATTTGATATCTATGTTACTTTTTCAAATGTACACATGTATATTTTCTTTCTTACGATACTAAAATTATAAATAGAATTTTATCGCAAATTTTATAGATTGTTTAAGAAATCACGATTGAATCTAACAGACGAGGTATACACATTTATGTACATGGAGAGAATTTTCTCTTAGAATTTACCCTGAAAATCATGGTAATCGTGAGACAATATAATATTGGAGCAATTTTATATATATATAGTAAAATCAAACATATTTTATATCTACCGTAGATAGTAATACTTTTATTGCGGCAAATATTAATCCGAGAACTCTTATAAAATTCTTCCAACTGCCCCATCAAGATTACCATGATTTTCATAGTAAATTTTAAGAGAAAATTCTCTGTACTGATTTAAGAAAAGAAAGAGTGTCTCCGAGGGCGATTTTTCCACTTAAAGGATAAGAATCTCTGTCGTTTCCCGTGAAATTGCAACGCGAAACGACATATAAAGGTGTCCCGGAATCGATCTCGCGCCCTAGTCTAGTATCTATCCAAGTATATACTAAAGTCTCGACCTTTTCCGCAGAAACCACCCGAGAAAGCCGTGCCAGGGGACATCCATTTGTGTGAGGAACCGGCCGTTTCGTCATTTGATCGCCACCGCATCATCAACATCATCATCGATGTGAATATATATTGGGACAGAGAGAGAAAGCAGTGATATCGCTCAAGGATTATTGCGGCCGAGCGACGCGATGCGACGTCGCGTCGCTCGTCGATGCCTCGTCGGTGACAGCCAGGTGGAGGGTGTCGTCGTCATCGCCGACGCGTCGTTCGCCGACCGAGGATGGACAAGGCAAAGCGAAGCGATAACAAGCAGAGTCACCGTCATTGTCAGTGCGTTCGTCGGCGCGCCGCGCGACGCCGACGTCGGCGTCGTCGGCTGTCGTCGTCGATCACTTCCCACGATCGTCGGACGAATCGGGCGACACCGAGCATTCGCGCGGTGATTCGCGTGTGAAGTGGACTCGCGGTCGCCGGCTTGTTGGATGGAAGACGACGACGACGAAGGCGGCGACGACGAAGACGCGACGAGAGATGCCTGGTATCGTGGTGTTCCGACGACGCTGGAGCGTCGGCAGCGACGACCTCGTCGTGCCCGGCGCTTTCCTGTTCATCGTGCATCTTATTTGGTGAGTAGAGCTTTTGTTGATGAAGACGATATGAAGCGGACCCCAGGTACGACAGGACGTTGGAAGAAGTAACAGCTCATTTTTCTTTACGAGATATTTTTATACATTAATTTGCAATTGTCATGGCTGAATTCCTTTTGTTTTCATGTAAAGTTTAACTTTGTTTTAATGGTACCCCGAGTTTTGGTATAATAGTTAAATGCATCATTTTAATAATAGTAATAACTTTTAAAGTATTCATGAATTTAAATGAAAAAGTTGATGGTTTCTCGAAATGATCCATTGTGATTTTTTTCAACTTTAATCCGAATAACCCTGGATTTCAATAATAATTATATGCAAATAATGCAATTATAATGGGAAGAATTATGAATTTTAACAAGAAGATTAAAATGATGAATTTTGAGATATTTTAATACATTTCTTTGTTACAATCTTATTAAAAATGGTACAATATAAGATAATATTTAAAGATAGCCTTTCGCAAAGACTAGCTTACATCGTTTCGTCATTTAATTTCTTTACATCGGAAAATAAGAATAAAACATTTTTCAACATGAAAATTGATTTTATTAGCTTCATATACATACAGACACATACAGGTATCTAGTGTGTGTAAAGATTATTGATTAATCTTTACTAAATAAAGTGATGAAGTTGCATTGAATCTTTTGAATTAAAATGCTTGTTGAAAATCTGCGCACTGTAAAAAGTTAACTTGACTAAACCGTTCAACTAAATTACTATTTTATTAATTGAACATATATTAGTATTTAAGTCAAATCTATCTTTTGTTAGATTTAAGGTTATATTTAAATAATTCTATATGTTCAATTATCAAAATAATATTTAGTTAAACGATTTACAATTAATCAAGTTAACAATTTTTTTTCAGTGCAGCAAATATAAAAATCTTGTTGTCAAGAAATTGCTTACTTGAAGAAATTGAAAAAGAACATTCTAGAATAAGGAATGCGCATTTGCAATAATTGCCAGTTTTCAACTGTACTGAATTATGTTAACATAATTCAAAGGTCGTATAATTTTCCATTTGTTATTATAAATTCAAATCTATTCAATTAGTTGTGCACATATTCGTGTGGGTGTATTAAATCGCGTAGCAAATTTACTTTAAATAAGTTTTGAGGATATGCTATTTATTCATTAACACATACGATTTACAGAAACTTTTAATTATATAATTATTATTCACATAATTATCATGTTTGAATATATCGCTTAAATTTTGAAATTAATATGAATTTATCAGATGCATCCGAATTCCGAACTTTTCAACGAAATATAGATTCTTCATTAATCCAAATGATGTTGGACGAGTTTAAAATTAGAAAAAGACTATTCTTTCATACAACTCATTTTATTGCTTATTAACACTTTTTTTTAAATTAAAACCTTATAAATGAAAATTATTTATATTTAGGCTAAAAAGAAATTTTTAATTACTTCAGAAAGTTTTAGATGGAATTCTTTACTTTATTAATTATTTAGCCAATTAAAATTGTTCGGATATATTCATTGAATACTAGATTTCATTCACTAAACTTTCTCGAATCTCACAAGTCTAATTATTCGTTTCACCACTCTTTTCATTAATGACTCTTTCCATTTACTATAGGATAGCTAGCTTCGTCTTCTCGATATACCTTCTCGAATTCGACCTATATATTCGATTTTATATGCGTCAATTAGGGAAGTTCCCTCGTGAATTCCGCTCCATTCATTTTAACGAACTGTTAATTGATTGCGCGATACGTGTCGTATGTATACACCCGACTGGCAAACATCATCTGAGATCGATAGAGTTAAAGTTTCTGATCTCTTTCTGAAATATGTATTCAGGCAGAATCTAAGAGATCTTGAGAGAAATCCGAGAGGATGAAAAAAAAGAAGAAATATACATCTTCCACGCGATATGTTTCCAACAATCCTCATACATATCCTTCAAAGCCTCTTTTAAATTTCAATTAGAGAGATCTGGAGAGAGAAAATTAAATAAATAGAATAAAGCTTTAAAGCTTCATATAAAAGAATAAAATAAAATAATAATGTATTATTCGCGTATCTATTTGAAGTTTAATTATAAAACGAAAAGCACTTCACTCGCTTACGACTCAAAAGTATCTTTGCTACTAAGAAATCAATTCGAGATTGAAATCGGGGAAAGCCTTCCTGAGAGTTTTGGCCCTTCTTGTCAGATATATCTCTTCTTCCCTTATCGGAAGCATCCTAAATTTGAAAGCGGGCTTATCGGCGATGTTCGCTGGCGTTTCCTTCAAAACAATTCGACTGTAATTCGCATTGATCGATATGAAAGTTTGAGTTCCGACTGCGCTTGTTGAGAGATGACTTGAGCGAAAATAGTGCAGATACGCCGCATATATAAACGGGGGATCATTTTCAAGAGTGCGAGCGCGGCCTTGATTATTCTCGGAACGGGGTATTGGTTTGTTATTTTCAGAGTTTATTGTATGCACAAACACTCTGTATGCGGATTAAAAAGAGCCTCTCCTCTGTCATTCCCAATTCAGAGCCCGGTACATCGGAAACATCTCTTTCGCGATCATTTCTTCATCCGAGAAAGTCGTAATCGGCTAGATTTTTCACTCTGTTTTGTAAGATAAAAATTCCAGTCCATCGTCGATAAATAGCGCAATTTTTTCGCTATGTTTTCGATAATACACGTAGGTGATAAATAAATCGCAAGCATCAAGAAATGATAAATAAAAGAATACAAAGATATATTTATTACCCCATATATGCCGGTTAAATTATTGACACTAATTTATGATGAATATATATAGTTGAGATATAAAAAATTAGAAGAAAATAGGTCTCTCTTCAGAGTATAACGCGAGATGTACAATCTACGATTAGCTTTTATTTTCTGCATTTTCTATGCACACGGCCAGTCATTGTTTTTCAAGAAAAGTCGGTCGCGCGAAACACTTTTCTCGTATATTATTAGCGATGATCGAGAATCTCTCGTGCGAGATTTACGATGCCGCTCGTTATTTAGCACATTTCGAGGCTGTCTCTGTGCGCAAGTTATAGCGGCGATAATTTTAATTTTTTCTTTGAATTATCGCCGTTTAATTTTTTTTAATTTTTCAAATTTAATTTATCTATGCGCGACGGCTTTAAATTGTGCATGTACATACAATTCTAAGACAATGTTCTGTTATAATTTACCTTGAAAATCATAGTAATTGTGAGACAATATGATATTTTGGAAAAATTTTGAAAGAGTTTCTCTGATTAAATACTTACCCCTATAAAAAATATTAATGTGTACATAGTAAAATTAATCGAACGTATTTTATATCTTATTGTGATAGATATTAATATTTTTTATTGTGGTAAATATTATTCAGAGACACTCTTACAAAAATTTTCCAATTCCATATTGTTCCAAGATTATTATGCAGGGTAAATTCTAGAAAAAATTCTCTCTGTGTACTATCCTTCGGTTTTCGAGAGTTGCACGAAATAAATGGATGCAACGAGGGTGGAAGGAAATTTAGCGATCATCCATTCTCGTTTTCGCTGACCACGTAAAAAATATATATCATCTTTATTTTGTGCGCAAGATATATATTTTTTCATTCTTTTTTTGCTCTCCTTTTTCCATATTTAAATTTTGAATTAATAGAGATGTCTATATAAACTACATTGAACTATATATGATAAAAAAATAGATGTGGATTAGTTTCGAATTATTTTTACTGTAGGTATTTTTTCTTGTTTCATTAAATAACATATATTCTTTTTTTTTAAGCTTCAACAATTGCTATTTGTTCTTTCTGGAAGTATAATGACGTGCATTTTATCTATTCTGATAAGTAACCAAATGCAAAATATAAATTAAAGATATTTTAAAAGTTTACTATAAATGTAATATGAAAATTAGTCTCAAAGCTTCTATAATAAAGTATATTAAATTTATGGAAAAAAGATTTAATTTTATGCTAAGTTGTATACGTTCGCGGTTGTTCGGTCTTTATATTACATTTTAACCGCGAAACAAGCACGTTGTTGTGGCATACACGTTATTTAAAATGTATAGAAAATTAAATTGAATATAAATTGAATTTTTTTAACTTCTAGCATTATAAAGTAAGTAATTTTAATCCCTCACAGAATTATTCAAACATCATTATTTTAATATCTACCTTAAATATCTCTCTTACATACATTTTACTTGTTTATTAAAAATTTCCATTGTTGTTTTTTCTATTAAAGTTTAATTAAAGTTTTTATTTAAGTGAACAATTAAAAATTATTATTAAACTGAACAAATTTCTTTACGATTGATAATATTCGTTAAATATTTTGCGGTAATTTCTTCTGGGCAAAAGTATTAATTTTTATTCTGCTTTACTAATCCTCAGAACTAATGTCTACACCATATATTTATTCATTAATTTTATATTAAATATATATTTTAAATTTTGTAAAGAAACAGAAAATTCAAATTCGAACTTTTTAACTCTCTTTCAATATTTTTATTTTCATCATCATATCAAGTTTGAACAAATATAAAATACATCCATATATACATATTTTATATTTGTTTAATCTCAATAAGAAGAAAAACAATAAAATTTGAAGAAAATGAAAAAGTCAGAATTTAATAAATCAGATTTCGGTTCCGCGTTCCTACGTTTCAGCGCGACCGGTCAGCTGACCGGTCCGGTTCGAATGTCTCTTCAATTCGCGTTTCCCGCTCCCTCCTACACTTGACATTCGATCGCTCGAAGCGCGCTCGTCTCGTCTTGTCCGCGTGCGTCTTCGTGGCGCGTCGCGTTGTGCGTGCGTGCGTGCGTGCTGCGTGCGTGCGTGCGTGCTCGCTTTCGTACGTAGGTTATGTCGTCATTATCGTCGTCCGCAGGATGCCAAGTCTGATTGCTTTTGGCAGACGATGGAGAATCGGCAGCGATGATCTTGTATTACCCGGCGCCGTTCTGTTCAGCGTCCATCTG